TATGGCACCAGGAAATTGATCTAATATTTACAAAATATAGAAAACAAAAAACGAGCGTAAAAAGCAAGAATCGTGACAATATTGTGATAATTACTGCACACTTTCTTTGAAGATCTATTTTTCATTTGTAATTGCTATATTCGTTGATTACAAATTTCGTGATCTCCTCAGTGCATAAAAGTTTTCCGTTATTTCGCAGCATTAGTGCAAGCTATGGGGATTTGTGATGGAGAAGTTATGCTAATGACTTTACGAATTAGCAAGTATGACCAGTTGGTTTAATGTCGTGAATGGACTCTAAAATACTGTAAGTTATTGTTATGTTTAAGTGGTTGAATCGCAGTTTCTTGACACTTTTAGTGCTTCTGTTGCAAGAAGCAAAATATGAGGGGCAATTCTTCACTGTTATATTCTTATATATACTCCTACAAAGATGAACTAGAGCGCTGCAAATGGTTAATAGTTTGATGCATTTACTGTTCGGATTAAGTTCGTGTTGTGATTGCAATACTTTGCATATAGAATTGCGCGTGACTTCATTCCTATGGATACAGTCTTACTGCATATGCTCCAATAGCAGTTTTTTATCTGATCAAATCTGGAGTTTCATACAAAAATATACTTTAACCTTTCTAATGTTAGCTCAAATAATGTAACTATTAGTGCAGTATTTCTGGCTTTCATTTTATTTAGTTCATAAAAGATCATAATTCACAATGGGTCATCAATAGTGACAAATAGCAGTTTATGAATAACACAAGTCAGTGTGTACTTATCATTTGGACAAAAATCTTAACTGTTTGTGACTACAGTAACGTCTTCAGCATTCTTTTGCGATTAACAAAACGATTTTATCTTGAAGTAATAATCTAAATTTGTGTGAAAAAACTTCTGCATTCATTTTTAATGAAAAAAACTCGGTGATTTTTGTCATTACTTTCATTTTAATATTAGCAAGTTTAATTCATCTATTCATCATTTTGAAGACTAATTACTGCTGAAAAAAGTAATGTAAGTAGCGTATTTTCATTGCATTTACGATTTAGTAAAGTGAAGCAAACGAACCTATGTGTTGCAAAAATGTATGGAAATAATACTGGAAGTTATGAAAGAGAGAAATAAACATTTTATTTGTTTTCAATCAATTTGTTATTAAATTTTATCAAATAGTAGAAAAATATGAATGTCAATTGTTCAAAATTTGCATTTCATGATATTAAGTTAAGAGAAATTATTTAAAATATCTACTGAATAAAAGAGAAATGATATTGCAATTCAAGATAAGTTATGGCTCTTTCCGATTCTTATCTTGTTATATTCTTAACTTCAAGTACTAAAATTTTTCAGTAGCATTTCTTTTTATGTCTCGCAATTTTGAATATGATAATTTCAACGATGATGCTTATCATCATCATCACTATTTGCATCAGCATGAATTTTACAAATACGATCATCATTGTATTGCATTATTTACAAATTTTTTTGCATACTTCCCACTTTCGAGCAAATATCATTTAATTTGCATATTTCTATTTAGTGGCTTATAAATAATACCTTTTGCTGCTATTATAGCTTATATCATCTTTTTTTATCAGTTAAAATTTTTCAAAGTGATAAAATAGTTTGTTTGAATTATTGCTACTACCATGAAAAGCTAAGCTGTAAGAGCATAAATAAGCTACGCTCATTAACTTATTTTGTTTTACTATTTCATTAACTTATTTCTTTGACTGAAAGTTAAATTACCATATTATTTCGTTTTATAATAAAGTAAATACGCTTACAACATTCAGTAATTATGACTGCTTCTTTTTTACGAATTTAATTCTTTTTTTTTCCAAATTTGATTAAATGTGTATTCATTATTTTATGATTTCAGTTAAATCTCATATAGAATTAGGAAAAAATTTTTGCTTCTGATATACTAACTTATTTTCTTTTAGTGATTTTTTTCATTCGCTATATCTTTTCTCATTTACTGCCCATAATAGCCAAAAATTCATGTACAGAATATTTCCAAGTAATCCATTATTAGCAAATTTGCTTAATTAATTTGCGGTTTTCTCGAAAATCACCTTTCTACGTATATGATATATAATCCATTTATGCTATAAATTTTTTGTCTTTTGAAGTCAAGTTGAACATAATTGCTTCATTAGTTATCTTGTTTATTCTTGTCTTACTTCCGTTAAATTTTTTTGCATACTGTTAGGGATATAAACTTGCACAAATTTCATGCTAACTATTTACTGAAAAATTTGTCGATAATATTTCATACTGTGCCAAAAATTTATTACTCTGAAATTCTGTTGCAGTCATTATGCTGCATTAAAAGAGTACTGAAATAAATTTTTTCATGAAATGTTTCACGAAATGAATGAAATAGAATGTTTAAGTAAAGGCATGATTCAAAATGTACACCACTTCTTGAACAGTTTTTTTAATGAAAACACAAAAGATACTGTATGCTTTATCTTGTTTTTATGTTGCAAAATATTTTTTTATGCATCTTATAAAAAAAATCAAAAATCTGATCCTTTTTGATTATCAAATTTTTTCATTTGTTTATCAAATAAGTAAAGTTCTGAAAATGTAATGTACAAAGGTTTTTGCGACTTTTTTTCTACCAATAAATTCTTTAGAATGATGTCAGTAGTATTTGCAGTTCAAAAGAACATAGCTTCTTGTACTTGACTAAAAAATTTTTTGCACTTAATTTCTGTCAAGATTGACCTAATTATTTACTGAAGAATGCAGCCATTTCAGTTGATTACTGTTGTATTTTTAACGGCAAGAACTGCTACAAAACAATCAATATGTAATCAAAAAAAAAAACCAATATGTAGTCACACTTTTCATAATTGATATTAGTTTGTTGATGAGTACAAGAGATTAGAATCATGAATTTGCATAAGTTTTTTTCAAAATTATCATACGGTAAGTTCGTAAAGCCTTTGAACAAAGTTATGCACTGGCTACACAGTAAAAAAATGCAATCAATATTTTTTTCTTTTTTTAAGTTCATTTAAACCACTAAATTTTTGTTCGATACTTTGTTATATTTATACATAATTGGTTTAATACGGAATTTATTTTTAGGGATTTAAAAAATGAATGATACTTATGAGGAATGGTTTTGCAATGATAAAACTGCTGTCAACAGCATAGTGATAGAAAATGATTGTGTTTTGTCTTCCCTTGCTTGTATATCAAATTCAAATGATGTTCGTTATTATGATTATATCAGCTCTGATAATGATAGCTATTGTGAGCCTTCTGATTATTTATTTCAAACTGGCATGTCTCAGATATTTTCTGAGGACAAAAATGTTATTAATAACGATAAACTGTTAACATTTGATGGTACACATTCAAAATTGCAAATGGATATGGCATTAGAAGAAATAGCATCCGATAATCAAAGACATTTACAAATTGCTAATTTTACAAACACAAATTTAGTATTGAGAGACGATCATATAATTCGTAAGCATTTTCATTCCTTTATGTGATAGTCTCGAATAAATAAACTATTACTAACAAAAAGTGTGATTAATTTACTTACTTACTTATGAGTAATTTTTAGACTCATAAAAATTTTTATTCCTTTATACGTTTTACTGTAATTCTGCCAGATATATTTACGTTTGCCAAATTATTTTAAAAACTTGGCGCTTACTCTTTTAAATTACATGTATAATTTTTTAGAAACGTTTTATTTTTTGAATGACAGGCTCTTCAGTTCATAATTTCAGTATCAGATTCACCATCTCCTGATATTTCTTATTCCTCTTCATTCAATGAAACAACAGGTAAAACCTATAACGTTATTGTTTTACTTTTATATGAAAATTGAAAGTGATTTGTTGCAATAGTTTAATTAACACATTAACACCTTGTATAGCAGAGACCTTTTTTTTTTTGCTATAAAGATCTTAAAAAATTGTCGATATAAATAACTGATTAATCATGAGATATGAATAAAAATACTTTTTCAACAAAATTTGAAGTTTTAATTTAGCATCAACCTAAAATGAACTAAGGTTGCAAAATTGATCAACCTCTATTCACTTTTACCAAACAATGTGTGAAAGTTTTGAATTTTTATCCAAATATAAATTTGTTGATTTATTCTGAACAGAAGATTTAAATCTTAATGATGGGATGTTTTCAAAGCCTGGCCTACCATCTGTAGCCAACTTTTCATACTCGGCTTCAAATTCTGTTGTTCCAAATATTACACCAAAAAGTAAGTCAAATTTTCATTTATTTGATTTGAAATGAAGAAAATAATTAGCTTATGATCATTGTTTTTTCAATTTTATTTTTTCAGTAAATATAGAATTCGTTTCATGTAACTTTACTGCTTACTCGTAAACAGTTCAGTAAACATGAAAAGAAAGACTAACTACTTAATTTTTTGACCAACCAGTTAACCTTATTATAGTATAGCAAAGAGCTAAAAGCTTGTCATATTATTTGTTTAGAGAGCGAATCAATTACGTTGTTTGTATTCATATGACATAAAAATTTTCAAGTTATTACTCTCGATGTAATGAGAAATAATAACTAAATGATATATCGATACTACATTGCGTGATATTTTTAGTCTATGAATTTGTGTAATATTTGTGCATTTCACAAATAATTGTCCAAATATTAATACTCTCTTCATTTGCACAATATTTCAGTTACTTGTTTCTCAAAATAATATTAGTTAATTATACGAATGAATGAATAAAATTAAAAAGTCATGAATTATTTCAGTGTTGAAGAACGATTGAAAAGTAATAATGCTGCAAACTAGAAATTAGACAGTAAATTTGATCAATTAGTCGGCATTCAAAATGCTTAAAAAGATAAAATTTGAAAAGCAATAACTATGCATCTCATACGTCTAAATGCTTTCAGAAATTATAATTCAAAATATTTAAACTTCTTCAGAGTTGTTTTCAGTATTAACTTTAGATCTATGTTCATCAGAAAATGAAAATCTGGGGCTTGGATCAAATCTATGCTTCAACACTCGTAATAAAATGCATGAATTGGCTGTTAAACAGAAACTTATTACTGAACAAGTTAGTATGATAATTTTTTGCAATGTTTGCTACCAACTTTCTTTGTAAATAAATTCAGTGCACTTATTTTTGTTTATTTTACTTGTTGCAAAACATTTTCTTCTTAAAAAATTCTAGTTTTGCTGTTTATTGCTTATTGCTTGCAAGTTTTGCCTGTTAATGATTTTAACTTTAGGACCCTCAAAGTTATGGACTTTTGTGCTTATCACCGGAAGAAAAACGCACATTGCTACAGGAAGGATATCAGTTACCAACAACACTACCTTTGACTAAGTCAGAAAAAGAAGCACTCAAAACTGTGAGAAGAAAAATCAAAAATAAGGTTTGAACTGATATTTATCGTAAAAACAATTCTGATAGAAGTGATAATTGAAGCTCCAACATAATTTTTGGTTATTTTTGCATCAAAATTTATGAATTGAGTTTGTTGCTATTACTAAACAAAGATGCAAAGAAAACCTTGAATTCATGAAAATTGTGCTAAAATATATTGCGTTTGAATAGTTATAAATGCGAAAGTTTAATCATAATTTTTATAAACAGTTCATCTGTACATTTTTATAATCATTTGGTAATCTTCTTTCATTTGAGATAATAATTCTCATTGTGAAAGTTCAGCGAATTAAATTAGCATCTTTTACAATCTTTATTTTTTAAAATAAAACGTTGTCCTTTTCCTTATTTTTTCCTTTCCATCCATTCATCATAGCAGTTTTATACCAAAACTGTTGCATTAGTTCACAATTACTTCAATATGCTTTCATTATCAGTATTTTAAAATGCAAATTTCCAACGCAACGCTTATAAATGAAAAATCAACTATTAGAATTACTAATTCTGCACCTTAAATTTAACTGAAAGTGAATAGTTGATCTTATCATTTCTGTTTCAGTTATCAGCAAAAGAAAGTCGTCGAAAACGTAAAGAGTATTTGGATACGCTTGAACAACGTGTTCAGTGTTTTCGTAATGAAAACTCAATATTGAAGCTAAAAGTCTCTTTTAATAATTATGTTTGAAGTAAAAAAAGCATAGTGAAAAAATTGCAAAAAATTTGTTTAGTTTGAGTGGCAATAATATTTTCAAAAAAATAATGCTTATATGTCATTGAAGAAATAATGATTAGACTATTTACCAAAATAAATTAATAACTTTTAAATTGAAACATAATATATGTTATTGCATATAACTCGCAAATACATCAAACATCTCCTTTATTGGTTGCTGTTTAAAGTAAGTAAAAGTAGCATATTACTTTTTCAGCAACAAATTAAGCCAATATAAAAATTAACATTAAAGAAATTAATTTCAGTTAAAAGTTTTGGAACAGAATAATCAAAATCTTCTGGCAGAGTTGCAAAGACTTATCAGATTTGTTGAGTCTGAAGCAGCTTATATTCTTCCTAATGCCGATAGTGATATCGTTATTTAATTATATTTGATTCTTTTTTCCTTTTTAATTTTTTCATTAACTACTAGTTTAACAAGCTGGTAATATTTGGCTCAAGGTACTTTCATTAGCATAACATTACCAAATTACACATATATAATCTTCCAATTTTTTGTATCAATGAAAATATTTCCATATATTGCTATAGAAATTCATTCAACTTTTCTCGCTCCGAAACATTTTACTTTCATCTTTCTCATTTGTATAACTCATTTTTACATTCTTCAATTGTATTTTTAATGTTTGCTTTCAATTACAAATAAAAACAAAATGATGATTACTGATTACTGCAAAGTTAAATTTATATACGTAATTTTTGACGACGGACTTTCATTTACTTTCTCTTAATTTATTTTACTTATTCATACTTTATTTATTCTGAAGTCAATACTGTATATTGATTGCAGTTTTGTATTTTTGAGTTTCATGAACCCAATAAACTGTAAAAATATTCATTTTGGTAATGCTCGATGCAGCAAATCTTAAAACGCATGAAGTTAAAAGTGTTCGAGAATCATTATAGCTTGATTAATTGGAAAATCTCGTGTCACCATAATCATTATTTATTTTTTCACTTTTTAATGAGACAAGGCACAGTCATAAATAAGCTATTCATACAAAGTAAGTTTGATTAAAAATGAGAGTGAACTCCAAATGTACAAATCTTCAATCAGCGCCATTCATGTTGCAATGAGTAAAGGATATTATTGTGTGATCATATTGTTTCATACATCGTAAATAAACATTATTATACGCAATGCTTCCAGCTTTATGTATTCACATTTAAAAGTTAACTATAGGTTTCAAAAAAACTTTTTCAAGTTTTTCGATAGAACATATTCATTACACTAATTACTTTTGCATGTAATTTAGTTTTATTTTAGAGAGTAATGTCCATTGATTATTCACACTGAGATATTTGCGTAATATTTAATCGAAAACTGCATACTATAATTCTTAAAACAATATGATTATTCTTAAACTGGAAAAAAAAATTCATCTTTCCATTTTTTTGTACTAAATGAAATGTGCTGTTGATGGAATGGGAATGGATAAATAAAGCGATAGTCAGTAAAATGAAAGTGTAGCATAAATTTTACGATATATAAATTACATTTTCCATATTAGTAAGTCAAAATTTCTAGTAACTAAAGTATTGACTGTATAATTTGCATTTGCAATAAAACCATACTTACATTATTACATGAAATCTGATAATTATCTGCATATTCAGTCAACAAAAAAATTCAAAAAAAAAACAGGAAAAAAAGTGTGATCCGCCATTTGTTGAAGCAAAATGATTGTCACTTTCGAAAATGAGCACAAAATTTCAATTAGATTAAATGAAGTCAAACTGACCTTTAAGTTTGTGAAATAGCTGTGTACGCATACATAAAATATAATAAAATTGAACTGGAAGCACAAAATAATAATTTTTGCTGATAATAAATATTTTTGAACAAAATGTACTGAAACAAATTTTCAGTGAAAAATTTAATGCCACAAAAATGTAATATTACAAATTTTTAATATAATCATAACCTTTTTTGTTGATAACATTTACCATTTCATTTTGATAGTATTAATGATCTAACATCGATTTATGCGATTAAAAATGCACAATCAAAGCAATTCATCTATCTTAGCGGCTATTTTAGTCGAAAAAATACACCAAAATTTAAAAAAAAGAGAGCAAATAATCATTATCTGATTTGTATGCTTCACATCATTTTTCATCGTTACTTTTACTTTCACAAATATTTTTCAGAAATTATAACGTTTTTTTTTCTTTTTTTTTCCAAACTATCCAGATTTACATGAAATAGATTGAATAGTTGTAATTTATAGACGATTATTACTACTTGTTTTCTCCAGTAATCACTATCTGCATTGCATGTATTTTTCATTTTCACTCGTATTTTACTGTCACAACTAGTTGCGTCACATTTATCTACATGTTATTGCTGTTATTCATCTTCATTTTAGACAGTTTCAGGTAAAAACTTAAAAAATTCTCTCAAATCTACCGCAATTTTTATTTAACTTTCATAAAACTAAATCAGATAAAAAATTTTGTCTATGATTTGTAAAAAACACTTAATTCAAAAAAAACTTTGCTCAATTCATATTAAAAATAAGGTGATATTGTTGTATTAGTTCACTGCTATAATTTCTTCAAAAATTATGCTTTTTCAAAAATCAGTTTTTCTGTAATGAACTTTAACCTTAATTTTTTCTTCCTTTATAATAAATATTTTATTATATTGAATATCAGATTTAAATGCTTAAAGTAATTATGCTTACTTCCAAATATACACACACTTAATCAAAAAATGAACAAAATTCACAAAATAAGTTATAAGTTCTAATAGCTCATTTTTGGTGTTCACAAAAACATGTGCAAAAGCAAGAAATGATGAATAATTTCGATGCATATCATCACATTTATTTTTGATTGGTTTTTCCCACTTAATAATATGCATTTTATCAATGAGAATATCTGTAGCCGATGTTATCTCTGATTTATAAATCAGCGATGAGATAGTCAGAATGTGGCAAACAAATCATTTTTCATTTTTTGAAGCACGACGTAGTTTCATTATAGCTTAAATTGTTTGAGTACTAAATTTTTCAGTATTTTGCTTTATTATTGTAATTTACAGTGAAATACTTCTCCATTACTGTTTTATTGCTTTTTTACGATCTAATTCAGTGTATGATATGAAGTTATGAATTAAAAATAACAGAATAGTATCTATTTTGAACAAATATACTCATTTTATCTAAATTATATGCATATGCTTTTTCAAATTAATTTTATAAACAGTGCAATTTGATGTTTTAGTCGCAACTCAGCACAAAGAATTAATTCTAACAATTTACCTCTGCCATTCCTAAGTGGATACGGACTGGATATTTGCCGCTACATGTCTTGTCCATACGGCCAGCAGTGTTTAAATGGTTAAAACTTTCTGCTTATTATGAATCATGAAGCTGTAGGAAAACATTTAATAAATATTAAACTTAAACTTAGCTAATAAAATCAGCACAGTCAGTAGTGTTAGATACAGATAAGCGTAATTTTTAACAAAGTAAAACTAGTTTATGTAATACATACAATTAAAACAGTTCGATAAAAATCAGTTTTGTAGCAATGAAAATAGCCAAGTTCAAACTAATATCAAGACTGCTAATTAGAGATTCATTAAATTAAATTGTATTTTAAGTCTATACTACAATGTATAGATAAAAATAAAACAAGAAATCGAATCTAATTAAAAAATTTAATTAATAATATTTTTAATCAAAGGTGTTTGCTGGAGTGTTTCTAGTTCTGTTCCTACAACTGAAGCTACTTTTCATCCATACTTAAATGGATATAATGGATACATGAATTCAGTGTTAACATCTAATCCGTGGTATAAAGGTATTGAAGCAGGATTTAGAGCTGCTACAATGGGAAACTGTTAGCATTTAATTCTCAACTCCTATAGATCAAACTATAATATCTTTAAATACTACTTATATCAAAATGCTATGCCCTATAGTTTCCAAATATTATACTCTATAGTTTACTTTAGTATTATAAAAATAATAGTAAAATAAATCAAAGGTAATAAAAGGTTGTATATTATTAATAATACCAAAATAAACACAATGTAAGCAAATTAGTGATAGAAATTTTTCATATCATTTTTTATTATTATTACTATTATTATTATTATTATTATTATTATTATTATTATATTATATTATCATTACTTATTATTGTTATTATGAGTAATGGTTTATTATTACTATTCTAAATACTGCTCGAATGTAATAAGATGTTGACGCATTAAAACGTAACGCATTTTGTTATTATTTGCAATTAATAATTTACTTTCATGTAATTTTCTTTTCGAGAGTATAGATCAGTTTAGATATGAAATATAAAGATGATTTTAACTTTGAATTATCACTGCAGTAATAACATTCTTTATTATAATGTAATGATTTGACTTATGTTAATTTGTTTACAGTATGCACAGCTAATAATGATTGCATTGTCGGTCAAACCTGTTCATACGGTGGCTGTACTTATAGCGGAGGAAAATATAGCATTGGCGGTTAATTTATTCAGTTTTGCAATTTTTACAGCTGAAAAACAACAAAAAAATACCATTTCTTCTTCAAAATGCAATATGCATGAATTACATAGGATTAAAAAACCATACTCATTTTCAATTCAGTAAATTAAAAAAAAAAGAACACTGAATAATAAACCATTAAAGATAAAAGCTATTGTTATTATTATTATTATTATTATTGTATTACAACGAAATAACTTAATCAGTTAAATGGTTTGGAGGAACACAAATGTGTAATGCTATGCAGCAATGTTACAACGGGCAGATATGCGTAAATGGTTTTTGCTCTCCGAGCAATGTTGCTTACAGAGGAAGTCAACAACAAGCAATGCTTATATGTGAATACTTTTGTCACTTATGACAACATTTTTCAAAATGGTCTAATTGAAAATAAGCAATAAATTATTTTAATACATTGCATTACAGAAAAGAAATGCCGTTGGTGATTAAAATATTTAGTATTTTATGATAAATTATTTGTGTGAATGAAAATTTTAGCTTGCTCAACAGGAGCACCTTGTCCTGTTGGATACTACTGCATCAATGGATTTTGTACTCGCAACGCACTTACATCAACATTTGGTCAGTGCCGAAATTTGTTATTCTTTCAATAAGTTATTATTTGCAAAGCTATCATAATTAAGCGCAATATGACAACTATATCAAATAATTTATCTTGTATGAAATTTTATTTACCTGCTTTGATACGGTAGTGTTTCATTACTCAAATCATTGCATGTCAATTCTTTAAATTTATACTTTATATGTGATAATCTGAAATTTATTTGAAATCTTACAGCTTGTTCAAATGGTGTGTGTCCACTTGGAATGACTTGTCAGATGGGCAGATGTACTAGTTCTACTTTTAATGGTAAATAAATACAGAACCGTCACTGATATGGAAGTAACTACTGTAGCTGCTTGGTGTCTTCAAATCTTAACTGCTTAAATATCATTACGAAACTCTGTGCTAATGATGATTTATATTTAATTAAAATACTATAAAACAAATATAAGCATGAAGTGTACATTTCATTGTTATTGAGGTAATGAGAAATACGATGAAAGGGAATTCCCAAACATTGCATTTATTCAAATTAATATGCGCAAATTAATTGCACAATGCTTAATTAAATGCTTATTAACAAATATATGGTATATTATTAAAGCAAAATTAACGATGTCTTCAAGAAACTATTTTTGAATCCATAAATATTCTCTATCATCTTGTTTCTGAATTGATTCTGGATCAGAAATTTGGGGCGATACTGATAACGACATGCGTGTTTGTCTTAACGATTCTGTTGGACGTTGAGTGGTAGTGACTTTTTGGGAATTCGTTACTGGATGACTAACTGAAGTTCTTGATGGCGCTATTCCTAAAATGCCAAAAAAATTGTAATAATGAATTGGAAATGAGCCTTGATAAACAACCTATGAACAATATATTTAAATAAAAATGGACCTGGACAGTGGGAGCAAGTACCAGGCTGTCCTGGCTCTCCTGGAGGTCCAGGTGGACCTGGTAGTCCAGCGTTTCCTGCAGATCCTCTTTCTCCTACCTGGCCTCTTACACCTTGATTACCAGGCAATCCTGGTTTTCCATCATGTCCTATGAAAGGGTACTTATAAATTGATTTCATATTGCTGTATTATATACTAATTACAATGTCATGCAGTCATTAAAGAATGATATGAAAAATCATATATCTTGGTTTATACTTCATATATGCAGTGAAGAAATATCATTTGTTACCTTTAATACCAGGAGCTCCACGTGGACCTACATGTCCCGGAGGACCGACTGGTCCAGGTGGTGCTCCATTTAATACTTTACCACGATCACCAGTTGGCCCTTTTGGTCCAGGAGGTCCAGGCTCTCCACGAAGACCTGGTGGTCCTGGTGGTCCAGGACGGTTTGGTTCTCCAGGTTTTCCAGGCCTACCTGGTAATCCTCGACTGCCACGCATACCTTTAGGTCCGGGAAAACCAGGTGGTCCAGGTGGGCCTGGTGGGCACTAAAATTTTGCATTTTACATAGAGCCATATAAAATTAAATAAGTCAGTAATACTAGACAAGTGTCACTAGAATTTTGCAACTTTAAAAAAAATTATTTTTTGCAAAAATCCATTTGAAGATGAAAAACCAACTTTCTGACAAGCATGAGTGCCTGGTGGAGGAGCAGGAAGATATCTGCCATCTCGTCCCCTAGTTCCATCTTTACCTGGTCCACCATCTTTACCTGTAAATTTAAAATCTTAGTGATTCTGAAAGAATATATCGACCAAGCTACTCCATTTTTGAATTAGTTACAAACAAAATAGTGTAAATGATTATATTAACAAGTTGTTCAACTGTGGGCTCAAATGCAACTGCAGCCTTGAAAGATTAGCGAAAAAAGTTTTGCTTCAAATTACACAACTATTAGCAAAATTTTATGAATAGCAAATATGGTTTGTCATATCTTTTTATAATTGTTGCTTTCATTTTTTTTTTGCTTTGATAATATATGCAAAGTTTGCAGTTGAACAAATTTCTTAATGTTTTTCATTATGGTAAGATAAGAATAAGGTTTTGTTTGATAATTCAAATGCTGAGCTCAATTATAGTTCTAGACACTTTGGCTTTTCAGTTTGCATAGTTGACTTGTTTTAAAATTTAATGTGGAAATAGTACAATTTTTGTAAAATTATATCAGTTTTTGGTTATAGATCAAAGAAATCGTAGCTAAATTCCATTATTTTAGTTACCAAGATAAGCAACTAACTAAAGTCTTACCATTGCAATTCGAATTTTCTATCAATCTGTTTTTTTCTGTTTAATTAATCTTGAATTATCTAAGTAATATATTCAGAAGTACTTATCAGTGAACTATAATAATATACCAGGTAGACCATCTTTTCCAGGAGGTCCACGAGGTCCTGGTGATCCCTGTGAGCAAGTACAGCATGCGTCATTTACAAAATTACCGACATATGGCAAGTCTAACCTTACTGAACGAGTATTTCGATTATTCTTGCCAATTACTGTTAATTGTTTCCAAATATCACTTGATTCAGCCTAAAAAGTTCACACTTAGTTGACATAGTTTACAAAAAGCTTAAAAATCATTTATGTATTTTAAAATTTGCAATAAAGATTATGTTGGCATATGTAAAATTTATTTACAACGTAGTAATAACTAACTATAATGATTTATTTTAAATTTTTTCTGGTTTATTCTTATAAAAATTTAACTCAAACTTGGATAATCAAATATGAAATTTTTAATTTCAGTAAAATTTCATTGTTACAAATTATTAATTTGGCTAAACGAAATTTTTGTTTGTCTTCTCCAAATAACTTCTGTGATTTAAGTAAACAAAATTTCTGTCATTTTCTTGCTTAAATTTTGTTTGAAATTATTATAATTTTTCAAAATATTTTTGTACTCTTACCATTTACAAAATCTTCCATATTTCAAAGTATTGCAATTTGTTTAGTAACTGTTAAAATACTGCTTCTAATAAGTCTCTAAGTCATAAATTGTAGTAATTATTTAATCAACAAATTATATTTGATGGATTCTTTTACATTAAAATTTAATTCACAAATTGAAGTTAACAATTTTTTATTTCTTTATATCATTTTTTTTTCAAATATTTACTTTCAAAACTTTAAGAAAGAAAAAATGTATATTCTTTTCTTCTCAAATATTTCATAGCATATTAATGGTTACAATGAACATTTACTACTTTTTAGTTATTAAACAAACAAAAATAAAAAGTAACTATACAAACCTTGCATAAGTCAATTTGGGATAGCATTGAAGCAATTATTTTTTGGCTATGAAAATGCATCAGTGGTAGCAAAATAACAACACTCATGATACAAACTGTTGAGCACAGTGATGCTATCACTGTGGCTTTTCTGCTTGCCAAAATAGTCATTCCAAAATAAACAGTTTTGTAAATATAAATAATAATATACATTTGAAAAATTATTAGCAAAATTAATAATATTTTATTTGCATTGCAATGATCATAAAATTGTTATATCACAATAAATTTGTAATACAACTTGATATGTTATCCATAACTTTATGAGCATATAAGCGATAATATTAAGAATACTTGTAAATATTTGCTTTTAGCTTGTATAGGTCATAACTTTTTAATTCTTTTTCTGTGTAACAATAATATTGTAAGTTAAGACTTAATTAACATAAAATTAAAACAATCCATTTTAACACTGTTAATTAAAATTTATAAAAAAAAATGAAAATAAAACTAAATTATGATGAAAATACCACCAAAATACCAAAAGCAATTTATTCTTATTTCATTCATATTAATTACTTTTATACATTCATTTTTTTAATACAATGCAGCTTAAATCTTTTGCTAGACTTATTTAAACTCGCTAAATTTCATACCTCTAGTAATACTCACTTAGTACTGACCAAAGGAAATATTCTCTTAAAAATTGTCAAAACAAGAAAAAATATCTGGAAGCAACCCAGTTAATGATAATTAAGGCAACCAATTTAAACAAATTAAAGAAACGAAAAATTGTGCCACTGACCTCAATACTTTTTTGTTATCAGCCTCTATCCAGTGATATCTAATATTTTTGGAAGAAAAAAAAATTTGCTGAATGATCTTTACATTGACTTTACAATGTAAATGACAAAATTTTTCTAGAAATTGGATATTTTAGATATAACGAAAATTTTATTTGCAAAAATCTATTTTTTCCTTTCTCACTTAGTGATACCATCAAATCATATGGTAATTTTGTATAAAGTTGGCCTTATCATACGATATTGGCAAATTAATCCTTCAAGTGAAATGCAATGTGTTGAATAAGTATAATTCATGTCCACAGTAATGCACATATACTTTTTATTCTTGATCTTCCTTCTGTATTGCACATTTAAGAAAAGAATTAAAATATTTTATTCATAATATTTACTAAAATTTGTAATACAGCACACCTTACAAAAATATTATGCCTTGAAAATTACATGATTTTTTTATAAACAAATATACAATTTTATTTTGCACAAATTTACTATTTGCTGGAGGAAAAATATGCACAATTTTCTCTCAATAAATAAGTAATCAGAGCTATAGTTGGCAATTTTTGATAAGTAAAATCTTCATATTGTTGAAAGTGTTCTTCATATTCAGCTTGTGTAACAAACCCATTATGTATTAAAATCCTGAGCGTCTGAATAAATTTTATTTTACATATTAAAGTGAAATTAGCAGAGCTTCTTATAAATATTTGATGTAGACTAGATTAAATTTTTCAAGCTTAAAAAAAACCGGTAACAAATATTTTATTAACAAATATTTTGGCATGTTTTGACGTTAAATAATAAACACTAATTTGCTTATTATTATTAACATTATATAAATATTTTGTTTAATTAAAAAGTATAGACCTTTTTGACTAGCTCTCGACTCATTACTAAGTCTCCAATTGCAGCAAGCAAGTGATCTGCATACTGTTGTGGATCATTTTCCATTTCATCTCGATTCTCTGCTAACCAATCAAATGCTTCCTAATAAGTTTTATTTAATTTGTATACAGTTATTTGCAAGATTAATAACCTTATTTATTTTGCTACTTTTTAAAACAAAAATTATGACGGAAATTAATTTCAATCATCCTTTAATGTCTACAAATATATTTGCATTATTGTATACACAAGTCCTTTTTTCTAAAAAATTGATTTCATATTCGTTAATTAATTGCTACAATTCTCCTTGACTACAGTAATTAAACAAAGTTTGTAGACGAAAAATTCTAACATTAAAAAAAGATTCATAATTAATTTTATATTAAATTTAGATAAAAATGAAATTAATGAGAGAATTTTATATTCAAATTGTAACTTGTTTACTCGATAACATTATTGCAATGGAGGCTTATTTTTTATTTTAACTTCAACAAATATAATACTGTAATAATTTATGCATACTCTCGTCCGCTGACTCATGCAGAATCGTTCAAGAACGGAACCAATGCGAAGCACTTCATCAATATTCACTTTTACTTGTTCTTTTTCAAGCCTCATTTTTCTTTTCTTCTAAATTATACAAGTTAAATGCAAACTCTAAAACTGATCTTAGAACGGACATAAAACCCTGCTGATATTAATGATTGAAGTGATTTAATCCAAATTATTCACATTACTTCACATCAAATCCACACAAAACTAACCAATGTAACATAAAAATCCATTCATAACGATTAATAAAATGAATCTAAGATAAGACTAAACTTCAATCTACCTGTTTTGTAGAAAACACAACACTGAATTAAATCAAAAAATCAGAATTCATTTTAACCTTGGATTTTGTAGAGATGCACTTAGCTATTTAGTATGCAAATACTCTGGAAATATTTAAATTTGCAAATTTTCTCTGCTTTCACAGCATAATTATTGTATTTCATTGTTTCAATCGATTCATTTTGACAGAATTTTTGTTACTACTTTTTGAGTAAAATTATCTGCTTCTTTAGCTTAAACTTTTTTGACAACACATTAAGGCTGAATTACTAAAAGCTTAAAAAAATCAAGCAACTAAAGTAAAATTTAAAACAATAATTATATTATAAGGAAACAGAAGATTTGGATGAATAAATTCTTCAAAAATTACGTTAATGCCATTTATTTTGTACATTTTGCCGGATTTCGAAGAAGAAATTTAAATTAAGTTTATCAGAAAATATGAGGAAAGTTTTACAAGTTATTATATTTAGCTGTAACGGAAACTAAGTTCTTATGACGATTTATTTCAAGCGATAATCAATTTTGGTCAAATATGTAGTACAATTGTAAATCAGTATTTGTTTCCGTGGTTTATGTCATCTAGTTTTGCTTGACGTTACTTGTTGAACAGGAGACTGTTCAAGAGGGGATATAAGTGATCACTGAATATGGCGTGTAGTTTTCATCAATTATTTCTTTGATTAGGCCTTATATAAAGACAGTACTGTTAATAAAATCAAGTTACTTTTATTTATTGGTGTTGTTTAATATCCAAATGCAAAAAGCTTTTTCTCATATCTCTCGTTGCTATGAAAGATAGAAATTAAATGCCAAATTATTATGATTATTTTATTTATGAATCAGAATTATAAGTAATGCATTGCACCAGTGTTATTGAAGTTTTTATATCCTAATTCATTAGTATTTCGAAAAGTTTCTCCTGTTTTAGTATTTTATTTGATAACATGCTTTGTTGCAATGGTTCACTATATTAATTGAAGATTGTAAAAATATGTTGCTTAAAAGCATTTCTGTTTTATGTTATGGGTAGCAGAAATTTTTTTCCGGAAATATGGGCAGATGACGATCAAATGGCTGGATTGATGTCTATGATTAAGGTATTTTTTGTATCATTATTATAGGTTTTTTAATTATTTTTTGAATATGTAAGTGTTACAGTTGATGATTGCCTTGTGTGATCCAGTCAGGTTTATACAGTTCATCGAACAAGAATCCTAGCTAGTTAATAAGGTAATTCTTTCTCGATGGCTGCTATGTGGAGTGAACTTATTTTCACTTTTAATCATAGCAATTATGAGCCTTAGTTCACGTATTTATTTGCTTTGTATATAGTTAGGACAGGGATGAATTTATTTCTTCTAAAATAACTTTATTTAAATTTTTGTATTTCTTTCTTTTAGTCAAGAGAAGTCAATCCAAATGATCATGATCGAAAAATAAAGTTTTGGTCCGAAATGATAGCAAAATTATGTAATCACGAAAAAAATGCTGTTTTCACTGTTGATGAATTGAAGCGACATTTTCGTCGTGGTGATCAATTACCGGGTTCACTCGAAGTTGTCATTCAACATATGTTAGAGTGAAGTTTTCTGTGTCCATTACTTTTAAATAGTTATTGTATAAAATTTTTATTAGTATATAGTGTAGATGTTTGCTACAAATTTTTGCTTTGTTTACGTGTCCCATATGGTTTCCTAAAACGATAATTATTTCAGCTCAGTTTCCTTTTGTTATATATAGATATAATCACACATTTGAACTCAGAATGTATGATTATAGTGTCCAAAAAAACGAGAAGTAAAAGCTGCAGAAGATAGTGAAAAGCTCTTTAATAAATTTTGTAAAAGTATACGTTAATAGATCTTTACGGATATTCATTTGATAACTATCAATCCAGGAATCACTCTTGAAACAGTGCTCTGAATGATTTTATAGATTTAGTCTGATTTTAGTCGTAAACTAATCAGTCGTTATTTTAAGCACTGGTGAAGTGGTAACTTTAGATGTTTACAACGCTCGCAATGCTGGTTGGTTGCAACGAGGTTACAAGACCTTTTTTGGGAGTTTATGGGGTGCAAGCAGTTTTTCCAGTGTTCAGTATGTGCATCTTCCTACTATTAAAGTAAGCTGTTTGTAGCCTTGTTCACTGCATTAAATTTCTCCTTATATTTATAGTTACATTTACATAGATCCAAGTATAGGAGTATCCATATATATTTATTGTCGACTGAATAATTGCAATATTTGTTACTTACAAGCTTTTGCAGAAACAAGCTGATTCTATGTTGGAGTTTTTCCACAGTGAATATGCTATTGATGATGATATGCTGCCCGAAATCGTAGACTCGGCTGAATTTTTCTCAGAGTGCAAAAATTTGATTGCGAACAAGGAGGCATACAATGTAGCTCTAGCAGAACTTGTTAATCGAGGCGAAGTTCGTTTTTCGACATCAGGAAAAAATTATGAATATCGTTTGATTAAGATGTTGGAGAACCATTAGGAACATTGAGAAAGCGTGAGGTAAAAAAGCTTTTGTGCTGCCTGACTGCCTTTTTTCATTTCTCAGCAGGAATGTGTTAGGACTCATTGGGACCTTGAAATCACCCAGACTAGTATTGAGATTTTAATTCTACTGATTATTAAATTCTAAATTATTAAAATACTTAGTCTGCTGCTATTGTAGTTTATTTTCAGGTAACAAGGGGTTCTTCGAAAATGGGAGAAGAAATTCTCAAATTTCGTGACAATGCGGCTCTTGGTCCCATAAAATGGACTGAATCTGATGCTGGGGTTCACGACATGAGACGTGCGATGAGCAAGTTGGAACACGAAATAAAACGCTTGGAAGCAAAAGTGAAAAAGCAAGTTTGTTATCTCACTTTAGAATATGTGCTTTTACAGAAAGGCTCGAGTTGATTGTAAGGATCTTTCAATTACTTAAATTTAGTTCTGTTTGTATAATTTATTTTGTCTTGTCTTTCAGAGCTGAGCAAGATGCTCGCTTTTATGTACGGAAAGGTGACAAAAATCATGCTGCACACTACTTGCGTCTAAAGAAAAGAGCGTTGAGAGAGATCGAAGCTAAAGATCACCAGTATCAAAGACTTTTAGATATGATGCATCAACTTGGTCGCACCAAACAAAACAAGCAAATTTTGGATGCTTACAGAGCTGGAGCTGATGCTTTTAGAACTACTTTGCAAAGGCAGGGTATTTCTCCCGAAGAGGTATTTGTTAAATAATTCTGTCAGTGTTTTATTTTTATTGAATTTCCGCTTTTTCATGTAAATTTTTTGTCATATCTAGTATTCTATATATATCCTAGTTTGTAATTTAGTTACCTCTTTATCCTTGTTTTTTAACTTTTTACTATTGCAGGTTGATGAAACTATGGACAGTATTGGTGATGCGATGGCAACTGCTGAGGAAATTCAAGATGCTATCGCAGCTGGTGTACAAGTTCCAGTTTCTAGTGATCTTGATCATGATTTAGAAGCAGAACTCAATGCTATTCTTGCTGAAGGCAATGGCGAAATTGAATCCAAGTTAAAAACTCTACCAAATATACCAGGAGATGATGCTGTTCCAGTAAGCCCTGTGTCAAACACCCATGTAAATATCGATGATTCGATCGCTTCACGTCTTAGAAAGTTGCGAGAAGCTGCTTGAATGAAAAATTTATTAGATTGTGATGGCAGTCAAAATTTGATCAGAATTCAGAAATACCATCATTGTCAGGATTTTAGCTGTAAAAGCGGTTTTATGTTCTCCTGAGTATAATGTATTAAATTTTTAGATATATGGAATATCTTCAATATGAATGGTGTTTTTATGGTTATTTCAGGAGCTTAATTGTAAGACTGTCAAGTTTTGTGGAGGGCCTTTATATTAGGAAAAAATTAATCCTATAAGGATAAGTCCTACTGGTTATGATTGTTGTGAAACAGATTAAGTTTGAACGTTGAATGAAGATGATGGAAGCTGTAAAGTGTTTAAATATTTGTGTGTTCAAGTATATGCGTATTTAAAAAATTTGACGAATTACATTTGAAATTAAACGTTTTTTATGGATGAAATATCTTCACCGTTATTTCAAATAATTCTGATTATTAAAAGATGGAATCATAAGTTAATGAATATTTTTCTACTCAACATGTTTAGTAGCAGATCTTGACCATCGTTGTAAGGCCTTCAGTTCAAAACACAGAGTGCCTTGAGAATATTATGGTACTTTCAAAGCGTTGCAAACATTTTGACATACATTTACTATCTGAACAAGATAGTTTTGATACATTGTCAAAAATCGTGTTATCAGAAGGCATTCAATTGTTACAGAAATGAACTTGCTCATTTTCAAAGCCGTTGAATATTTGGCACAGTTGATTAATTTCATGTGCAGGCGGATTTATTTTGATCTAGAAACTGGAAAGTCCCCATTAACTTTCAATTTCATTGATCTTTATTCATGAGAAAGTAAAAAGTTCCCTATGTATATGGGCTGAATGGTTGCCAGAATATGTGTATGTAAGCGTGTGGATGTGATGATTATGTAGATCATGCAGTTATATCCTATTTGAGATTTCAGCACAATCTCTATTCATTTTCTGTAGACTAGTCGGTAAAGGTTGATGGATTTGAAATAGAGTTTATTTTCTGTTTAATATGACATTAAGTGAACATTTGACTGTCACATACTTAATTTTGATTGAGGAATTTTTAACTGGAAGATAGACTTGGTGCTATCTGCATTCTACATATGCTGAACTAATATTAATTTAAATTTGCATCAGTAAGCTGTCTAGAAACGAAAATGGGCATGCAAACGAGTCTTTGTAATTGGATAAAGCTTTCTGTTTAAGTTATTAACTAAACTTAGGAGAGCAAGCTATATTGCTGATTTCAAATTCCTTTTTATGTAAGTATAAAACTGATTTGATTAGGTATTTGTTGCAATTGGTTTATCCTTTACAAGTATACTTTGTTTGTAATTTAATTTGATATCACCAACCTTATCCATATATATTTAACTAGAATTGCTATTCTGTAGTTGAGATATATCCTATTTTACGATTAAGACCGAAAATAGCCAAAAACATTTTCAAAATGCTTATCAGGATTGCAAATAATCTATACATGCATCAATTATTCAGAAGAAAACTGCTTTTTATTTTCACGAATTGAGATAAAAATACCAATTTTGCTAATTATTATGCATGCAATTAGAATTAGGAAATTTAATTTGCTTTTTCGCTCCATCTTTGTTGAGTTGATAATTGAAGCGGATTTTCAAGTAATGCATGAAGTATCGTATGATTTAAGCAAAAACAAGTTCTTGAAAGCTATTTATGTCTTTAAATTGTGCTTACTTAATTCAATTAATAACTACACTCGAATTATCTTATTAGGGAATGATCTACATGTTTATCTGAATTAATTTCACATTTTTCTTTCAAAAACTTTAATTTATACGAATACAGATCTAAAAATTCTTACAATTCTGTTATCACTTCTAATAAAGCATTAAATTATCAATTTTACGATAGCTTTTAAAAGCATTATCTGTGTTGCATGAAAAAATCTTTGCCATTGTTATCTTTAGAGGAAATATTATCTTTTTTCAGCTAAATATTTACAAATGAAAAAAAGCATCAATCTTTTGATTCTAATTTTTCTGCCAATGCTACTTCATGGGAGAGGTAATCGTTTGTTTTCCAATGAAGTACTGTTGAAGTAATTCATAAATTTGATTATTCGATAAGTGCTGTAATGCATAAAATATTAAATTTTCTCAAGGTATTTAATTAATTGAGTATTAAACCTAACTATTACATTATATCTATGCAGAAGAAAACTAATCACATCACTGAAAATTATTATTATTTCATACTTGAAAACTATCAAAAACAATTTAAAGTGTTCTGTGAATGATATATCAACGAGCCTGAAGAAATTTGAGTAATTGAGTACGTACACTTCCTTTAAATATTCAGAATAAATCTATATAATGATTTAGCTACTTAATGATTTTATGTACTATTTTGAAAATCTGTGTTTTTTAGTTAATCTGTATATGTTAACCTTCATAAAAAATTTTTTCATTTTGATTTGCTATTTTTGCATGTGCTTTATATCTTTGTGATAAAGTATGTTTAATAATTTTAAAATTGTTGATTCGAAATTAATAATGCAGTTGAGTCAAAAATAAAAAGAATAAAGCAAATATATGAATAAATTCTTCGAAGCAACAAGTCAGTATAAACAAATTTTCCAGGTATCTCACAAAAACGAGAAATTTGGAGAAGATGGCTTATCCGAGCTTCTTGTCAACGTGATCCACGATTACCATTTTGTGGTAATGGCTTCTTAACAGTAATTCCAAAATTTATTTTATTCCTTCAGAAGATCAGTAAAGAATTATTCTTTCAGAGAAATCTTTTTTTATCTTCAGTACTTGCTTTTCTATAATAATTCTTCAATAAAACCAATAATATTTTTCGCAGGAGATTTTGAAAGAAGACAAGATTACCCCTTAATGAATACTGCAAATTTGGAAGACAATGTCGTCAGACGAGAAGAAAATGTTTTTTTTTCCCAGTTTTAAAAAATGTTTTTTGAAAAAAAAAAGCAATTTAGTCAGTAATAAAGTATCATAAGCAAAGATTAATTAAATATTATAAAAATAAAGGAAATATTCTAAATATTATGAAAATAAATATGAAATTGCTCCAAAAAATTTTGTCATTTACTTAAATTTGTTTTTTTTTTCAACTTTTGAAATTACCATATGTTATTTAGTAATTATGCAAAACTCATTCATCTTTGATAAAATACAGTACTTGAGAAATGTTTCCTTCTGAAGTATCATTAGTTTGATTAATTTTTGCTAATACTTTTGCATATTTTAGATGGAAATCGATAAAAGTACAAATATACGTGAGCAATGTTTGAAAACACAATTTGTTGCATCAAAAGTGAATCCTTATTTTACTATGTATTGTTTTCGTTTGGTCATTTTGAAGTTGCTTGGTGTTTCAACAAGAATTTCTAAGCTTTTAACTTGTAATACATTTGCATAAGTCAGCAAAGAACTAAAATAAATAATACTTTTTTAGCAATGTGATGGAAGCAAAAGAAACGAAATTGAAGCAGCTCAGTGCAGAGCATATTTTCGAGATTGCAGTCAATATATTCAGAATACGAATCCTTTATATGCTATTGCAAAAGCCTACAATTCACAGGTAAATAATGAATGTATTATTTATTGCTATAGTTAATGCATTAATTATGCCTGAAAATTTATAATTTTAGACATAATTCAAATTTTTTCAAAAAACTATTTGCGTATTTTCTCGTTGTACCAAATGAGACAAAAGAATATGATGTGTGGATTAATTTCTGTATGCACTTCAGTTTTTTAATGATTACCAAACTTTTTCAAATGAAATAATTTTTTATTTGCTTTACTTTCAATGATAAGGATAATTATAAAATGGCATTTTAGTTTATGTACTTGAAATTTGTTATTCAGATTGGTATAAATCCTTGGCAATTTAATGTGGATGGAATTCCGTATTATCCAGTGAATAAAGATCGAGGAGTTGGTGCAGGACAGTTGTTCATTATTCCATATGGCACGCAAGGTGGAGGTTACCAAGGTCACCTCGGTGTTCGTGACTACTGGTCTCAATATGAAGAAGCTGGAGCTAACTGGTATTATTACTAATTTGATTTTTTCTTTCAAGAGTTTGATTTCTGTAATCAAAAAATTGCATCAGTTTTATTAACCAGTTTATTTTTCTAACTAAAAATCAATTCATTCCATTCATGATAAATTTTGTTTAGTTTATAGGTACGATGGACTATATGGTTATGAGGGTGGATGGTCAGCACCACTAGTTCAGCATTTGGGTGTTCAAGGAGGTGGTGGTTCACGTACAGCAGTTCCATTACATGGTCCTGACTATGGAAAGATAAGAGTTGATACTGGATACGGAGTAAATATTTACTAAGATTGTTCGCATTTAGTAAAGCAATTATTTTTCGGAAATTAAAAGAAAAAATAGTGAATATGTTTTGGAATTACGATGAATTCAAAAAAAAAAAAGAAAAGGTTGATAGAATTTTCGTAAATACCAAAATTTAAGTCATTTTATCATCCAAAAAGATTGCAGTGAAGTTTTATGATATATTTTCAGGTTGATACGTATTATACAGGTAATCATTTAGTTGGAGTCGACTGGAAAGGAGGTCAGGTCAACGATCACTTAAATATAGACATACCATTAGCTGATGTTGGATATGATTTTGGCCGAGCTGTAGCTTTTCCATCTGTTGATACATTTACTTCTAAATTCATCCAACAATGAGAAAAGTAGTGATAAACAATCATATAATGCAGTATTCTTTTGTATGATAATAATATTTTCAGAAACATTTTATGATAATTTTAAAAATCAAACTTGCCCTCAGTCGCAATAATTGAATTTTGCATAAATATAAACAAAATTAACTTTTATAACTATCATGACAAATTTTTATAACTATCGTCGTTAAGTTGACTGATTTTGTGAAAGTTTGTTTTGTGTGACTAAGTCAGAAATTCGCACATTAAATCTTGTAGTTGAGGAGTTCTGCTTTGAAGGAGTTCACTCTTCAACAATTTTGTTCGATTAAATTTATTTGAAAAGATCTAAAAATTTATACTTCGAAATTTCGATATGGCATTACCATTTTACGTATTTATGACGGTGATCAACTTAATAAAATTTTGATGTAAATAATTATGAAGTTGAAATGAAAGATCGAAAATGCCTCATCAGATCTTGATTAGATCAAAAATTATGCTCACTGTTTTGTTTTTCTAAGCATTCGAACAATTGATATCATTCAGAATACATGAAGGTTATGCAGTATCAAGCCCTCATGGAATGGAACAGAAAAAGAATTGATTGCTTTAATCTGAAGGAAAAATTTAACGAGGAAGTAACTTCAAATTGCAAAAAGTTTTCAATGAAAAAAACTAAATTATATTTCTAACTGATTTTTAAAGAAGTTGAAACAAATATTGAGATTTTTGGAATTTTTTAGTTCATGTAAGCATAAAGGAATTGTTTGTTTTAAAACTAGAAATAAAATTTCATCGATGATTGTTGAATAGTTATTAATATTAAGTTAGAGGAATAAAATGAAGACTTTTAGCTAAGTATCTTGTATGGCGAATAGAGATTTCAGATGAAGATAAACAAATAAACATAATAAATTTACATAACTTTTATTGCTTGTTACTAATTTTTTGGGAAGGATACTAATGTTGCAAATTCAAATGATTTTCAGCTTAAAAAAATACAGCAATTCATTTAAAATGCAAATTAATGCTTAGATATAAATTTTAACTTCAATAGAATTTTCATTGATTTCTTTTATAGGTTCAAAACCGTATAAAATGTAAAAAATCATATCAATCCAATACTGCCATTCATTTTGCAATTTATAGTCGGACGTGCGTGGTTTTTCTGCCCGTAGGTGCTAATTATTTTGGAATTGAGCAATGGACGGTGAAAACGAAGAATACTTATCTATCAAGTACCGCCTGTATCTGAAGGAGTAAGTTTTCATAACACTTATAGTTTGTATTACAATTTCTTAAGTAATCCTGTTATTTAATTTATTTGTCATCGTAGTGGGACTAACTGAAGCATAAATTTTAGTTCAGTTTAAGCAATAATCTTTTTAATGAGCATAGACTAAATTATCTAAAATCTAGTTTGTTTAAGAGTAGATAACACAATTACTTATGATAGCAGTTCAATAAGATGTAATTATTTTGGTCTAATTAATTAATATAATATTTTTTTTTTGCAAAAATTCAAAATTTCTTTATACTCAAATTCGTCTAATCGAAATTTCAAATCAAATCGATTCTTTAATAAAAATCATAATATTATCACAAAATTAATACCTCATCTTTAACACTACAAATAAGAGCCTAACAAAAATTTAGCATGTTGACAACATGTAAATGTATTGTCAAGTTTTCAAAAACTGCCAATGCATTCTTAATATTATAAAAAGAAGAAAGAGATTTGTTCATAATTTGGTAGGAAAAACTTGCCCTTCTAATTATCAAATTGTAGAAATTTATCAGTGAAAAGTAAATATTTCATTTTAACATTAATAGCGGATTAATGTAAAAATTACGTAAACTATCACGTTTTTTTTTTCAAACTGTAAACTTTTATATTTTTTAGCATACAACCTTATTCAGTTTTTCCAAATTTCATTATATTTATTGCATTCCAAATTTTAAAAGTGTCATTATAAAAATTGTCAAGAAATATGAGGCATTGGACTTGATCAAATAATCAGCACAAATAGAAAAGTAATAAAAGTATATTGAAATTTAACACACATGTGTTAAATTTTAGCTTACTTTTCTCGCATTAATACATTATTCTTTTATTAATTCAGTAGAAACTTTGATAGCTTGAAATTTATTCCGAATTGTGTTTTCTGCAGGTGCGAATCAGACACAAGTGAGTCCGATGAAAGCAGTGAAGATCATAAAAGGAAAAAAAAAGTGAAATCAAGACGATGCCATGCTCAAAAACCGTTTGTTCCATGCTAAAAATTATTGATAATAACTAAAGTTTTGAATTAAATTTTCTCATAAGAACTGAATTTACTTGAAAGTTATGAAAAATCAATGGTGCTTGATAAATTATTTCATATCATCATATTAAGCACAAAATGTTATTTAAATAATTATACGATACAATATGTATCATATGGTGATATGTATAATTATTTAAATATTTATACATATCATCATATGATATGTCTTATTTTACAATTCAGTTTTCAAATAATCACTAAAAATATATGCAAAATATTAAATTATTAAAAACTTATCATACGTATCTGAATTAGCAACCAATTTTAAAAAATTAAATAGAATTACATTTTCCGTTACCAAGAAATATAAAAACTAGAAACCTAACAATGATGTTAACAGTGATAAAGACAGCAGTCAAAGTAAACAAGCAAGTCAGAAGAGTAAAAGCTCGTCTAAACCGACCGTTACACTCTCCAGTACAATTCCGAATGCATCATTTCCACCAGATAGTACTTATATATCATCATTAAGTGAGCCATCGAGAATTGATCCCCATAAAGGTTAATTAGTCTTTTAGTTAGTAAATCAGTTAACTAATGAGTTTGTAATGATTAAACTTTTACTAAACAGATTATTAATTAAATGCTAGATTTTGCTATCAGTGCTGTTCTTCTTTTAACGTTTTTCTACGCTCAGTACTTTATTCATTTTGTTATATTTAAATTTAAATTTATCACACTTCTATTCTTTCTGAATTCACTTTTAAATATAAAAAATGACATTGAAAAAGTAAAACTTACAGTTAATTTTCAAAAAATTTTTGAAAATATAAAATATCCTAAAGTTATATAATTATTTACATATCTTTATTTTTTTAATTGACATCAAGCTATCAATGCTATATGAGAATTGAAACTCAATTATAGTTTACTAGCAACTTCAGTTTTTCCATATTTGCAGAATTCACTATTGATTACTCTTTCCATTTTCTATTTTTACCATTTCTAAAAGCAACGTAATCAATTCAATATTTTAAACGCAGCAGCTTTTATTCTGTTAACAGCCATTATGATTATTTTGCCTAAATTTTATTTCTTTCAGTTTAATTTTTAATTATTTATATATAATAGCCGTATTTTTGTAAATGGTCTTTTATTTTTATTTTAGAAACTGATCCTTGCGATAATTGTGTTGAAATTTTGAAACAAGCAGCTGAATTCTTAACGAAAATCGAATTAGAATATGGACTTCTATTGCAACATTCAGAGCCAACACCAACGTCAAAGTTTACTCATGCACATATTAATCGAACTAAGAAGCGAACAAGTGAAAATGTTTCGCATCGTTCACAAAGGTTATAAACCTAAGTTATTTTACTACGAATTTGAATGCTGAATTTACTTATTTTATTTTCTAAACATTATTTCTTCATTATGATTTCTAATCCTTCAACTTGCTTTCATCACTTTTTATATCAGAAGAATTCAGTAAAAGCTAAAATTTTATTCAGTTATATAGAAAATGATTACAATTAGTATTAAAGTAATTTTGTGATTACATTTCTTCGTCTAATTCATTAAAGATTTTATTGAATGCTTTTGTTGTTAATGTTTAGCTTAACAATAAAGTTTTATAATTCTGAAATTCATATTTATTAATTGCAGACATGAAGCCAGTGATAAACTGACTTCTGATTGGTCTAGTTTATATTCTAATGGTGAAGTTTTCAGTTTTCCTTCAATTTTCTTTATAAATGTAATAATAAACTTTAAATTTTCGTTTAAAAGGAAAAAAATTTTGAAATATTCCAAAGCATTCAGTTAGACGACGTAAAAAAATATAAGTGTAGTTGGTTTTTTGGAAGCTTAAAATTAATTTCATGTGCATGAGAATAGTACATAGCTTAATAGATATTGTACTGAAAACATGTCTTATATTTAAAATTTAATTCATTTACATTTCAGTTTCTCTTACGCCAGCATCCTCATTTGCAGAACTTGTAAAACACAGGGTAAGATTCGAAAAATAATACTAGTTTTTGAACTCAAATTTTGTTCACTTCATAAAGATCGTTCTTAAACTGTGAATATTACAGATATAGAAACTTTATAAGATGTGCCACCCAGATTAAAAAGTTTCATTACTCTTCAATTAGTCACAAAGTGGAAAAGTGTAACAGAAGTATGGTTTAAACATGCATAATAGTGTAATTACTCATAGCTGAAAAATTTAGTGTGCAGAAAATAATTTCAGAAAGAATCTGATTCAAAAAGAAAGAGCTTTAGACCAACCACCACTGATGAATTATCAACTTTCAGTAGTGCTTCAGAAACTAACACTATTACGCCAATAAGTTGGATGGATTCGTCAGAAAGCCAAGTCCTCTATTTTGATTTTTTTAAACATTTTGTGTCTGTTTTACTTTACAGTTGAATTAATTCCAAACTGCTAATGAATAAAAGATTATTGAATAAAAAGAATAAGGACTTTATTTACTAATATTTTATAAGTAGAAATCATTACTGCAAATCATGTGATGATGAAGTAAAATATAGTTGATATTGGCTTTATTAGTAGCATATATTTCCTTGAAATTTTCGACATTTTAGTTATCAGTAGTAGTAAAGTTTATTTTTGTTCAAGATATCCGAAGGGTGCAAAACATACTTGAGCACTGATGAATTAAAGTCTGAAACAAATCGAAAACCAAAGCGATCTGGTGAAGATAATGTGAAGAATAAATTAGTGGTATCAGAAGATACAAAACAGCAAAAAAGCCTAAAAATTGAACATGAAAAAAATGCGCCAAGCAAATCTGCCTCAGAAATCGCAGTAGAAATGAAAAAAGAATTTGGTCTGTAAAATATCTATTTGTATGTTAACTAATTAGGCTCACTTGACTTGCAGATATTGCTTTGCTCAAATTTTCCTTCATCTTATCCGTACTTTCATTCAGACTTTATTCAAACACTTCAGCTTGTTAGTTAGATGTAAGAAGTAATTTACATTTTTCAATCTTATATTATTAATATTTATATTTAAAAACTCTCTCTCTCCATACACATCAAAGTGTATGATTTAATCTTAAGTACTTACCAAAGACTAAGCTGCTCCTGATCTATACGTTTTTGACTTTAGAACCATTACAAAATGATAAACGCAATATGGCAAAAACATCTGACCCAAAAGATCCAATTACAATTACTAATGGCAAGAAAGAAGAAATCAAAACTGCTCGAAATAAATGAGGCAAATCTTCATTTTTGGCTTTGTTGTATACGATAAAAATACATTTATCTAATATTCCAATTCTAATTCCCACATCTTACCTGTAAATGACATTAATGCTAGTCTATCCATTAAGGGGTTGATATGTATTCAGCAACTTGTTGATTTCTAAAAGCATATCTTGAATTGTGAATATTTCCTAAGCAAATAATTGTGATCATTGGCAAATAATTGAGCAGCAGTGTTGGTTGTTTTTTGGAACAGTTTTATCACAAACTTTCATAACAAAAGTTCGTGATATTAAATGAAATTAGCGTCAAATACTACTAGCCAAACTCCAAACTGTGGCACAAACGGTATGTTGTAATTTATTGTAAGTAAAGAATCATGTTGTTCAAGTTTTTTACTCATCACAAAAGCATATAGAGAAATTAGTTCATGACTGTGGGATAATATAGCAAAATTTTGGAAAAAAAACAATTCTGGCCAACCGATATCCACACAAGAGTAGTGAAAAATGAAAGATAGTGAACTCTAGAAAAACTCAAAAATATAGTGCGAACTAAAGTTACAAATATGATCAATCTGTGATTGCTGTATTGAAAAATGAGCAAAGAAGAGAGAGCTTGGGGTAAGAGTCAAATGGGGATATGAACTAATTGAAAATTTTGAGGATAAAAAAGTTGAACATCTGAAAAAGCATGGATACCAGAATAAACGTAAGAGCTTCCAAATTCAACTTTAAAATAAACAGATTATACAATCCACAATGTACAACAAAACTACAATGTGATGATATAAGAAATCTGAGCCCTCAGCATGCAAGTCTGAATATTTAAAATTCTTCTATCATGTCTGTTTCGAAGACAGATAATTACATTATTAATTACACTGTTAAAAATTCTGCGAAGCAAAACTCTGAAAATCCGGACATAGGAAATAAAGCAAATGTCAGCAAAATTTTCTTCTTTTCATTAGGGAAATGCTGGTGCACTAAATCTAGATTATTCCTGAACGGGTAGTGAGAAATTCCGTAAATTACGCGATGAAAAAGATGATAAATGAAACACATTACATGCAAAAAATTCAGTATTTAAAATTAATACTTGGAATCAAATTTTAATCAACAGATCTATTAATCAATATATAGCTTGAACTGCCCTTTACAGAGCCTAAAATAGAGAATAAAAAGACCAAAAAACCCAATTACAATGAAATGTTGGGATAAACCTACAGGACAGAATGTATATACGCCAAAAATGAATCAAATTGAGAAGCTACCTGTAATGAACAAATAAGCGAAGAAAATGTGCTGAATCGGCAACCGGAACAAATAAAATATGCATTTTCCTTTACAAATCGTTACAAATGTATAATGGAACTCAAACTATTTTCCATTTTTGCAATAATCAAACAACCATAGATGACGTAAGAGGAGCAGTCATTGACTCAGTCTGAAATAATTTTGAAAAAGAAAGAATAAACATCAGTACTGATAAGCAAACATATGACATAAGCTTTGTTTTGAAGAACGTAAGCTATTATTCTTTTCTTTGTTTTTGTTTTTTAAAATGAGTTCCAATTTTCTCACTGTTAGTTTGCTACTTCAATCTTTCATAGATTTAGACATGACCTTTTCTAATTTATCACAGTAAAAAAGGTAATGTCTAAATTTATGCTTTTTTCATCACATATATAGTATGACTGTAGTTTGTGTTCATAGGATAAGGATTAAAAGAGAAGATGTGATTAAAATTCTTATTTCTATTAATTAGCTGTGCAGTTTCGAATTAAAACTGAATTTCTAAATTCATCAGACTTCTTCTTTCCTAACACACTATTTTCGACTGGGTAACCAGACCAAAAATATGCAATAAATTTTTAGTGAAAGATGTTTATCCAGTCTCATTATTTTTGTGAAGTGGTGAAATATAACAATATGAATACCGGGATACTCAACGAAGTACTGGATGTTGGTGCTGGAGCACTAGTAGGACTATATTTATTTTGCTGTTCTTGATCAATAACAAGTTTCACACCTCGCTGAATGCCATTTAAACCAGCAGAAGCTAAAAAAGTTCTAATTTGAGAATACAGTAAGACCGACCATAAAACAAAACATGCACCTCTCTTACTGAGTTTTCAAATACTTATTCATAGTAACTACAAGTATAAACATAAGCACTGATAAAGAAAAATTCTCGGAAATTCAAATGCCTGAACAAATTATGAATTCTGATACATAAAATCTCGAAGCCATGATTTAGAAAGACGTAATAAAAATTTCAATATACAATAAAATAGTGAGAAAATAATAATAATTTGGAAAACAAGCACCGATCGAAAATTGGAATTTCAGCAAAAACTATGCATCTAATATTTTTCATTCATTCGCATAGCTTAAAAAGAGTTATCAAAAACATGTCTTTAATAAGGTCACCCATTTATTGCATAGTATCTCTTTACAGACTCAAAATTTAAAAATTGGTATCAAAACTTTCATAATCTCAAGTGAATTTACCATCAGTAAATGGATCCATATCAGCATCGATTTCTTCTACTGTACGTCTGTAAACTGGATTATCGACATGAAGCACCGCAAAGCTTGTTGGTCGTTTGCGATACCATGAATAAACCTTGAATTATTTTGTTAATTGAAATATCGATAAAAGCTCTAGAGCCTATTTTCAAAACGAATACATAATTTATCTTAAATAGAGAAATATACTTTTCAAAACTTTTCAGCGTGATTTAGATGAAAGTTGGCATCAAATTCTCATAACAATCAAACGAAAAGATCCATCATTATAGATCAGTAGTAAAAAGTCTAATAGCTTTTAAAACTTACTCCAATGGCAGCAAAGCAAATGAGTAAAAGGAGAAATAGAGAAGAAAGTGAAATTGGAGAAGATCCATCCATTTTTTTACCTATAAGTTCCATAACTGCACTTGATCACAAACAGGGCATTTTATAAATATCAAAAGTGCAACGTAAATCGTGGTCATCAATAGAAATCATTATCATGATGAAAAAAGTCACTTATTAAACTTAAGGTTAACTTACTTTCGATGGCATCGGTCTCCAAAACACAATAATTTTCATTATGTAAGTTAACAAGAAAGCCATTCATGCAAGCACATGTATAAGGACGGCCCTTCATTGAGAAACGGGAATCTTTGTTGACGGCTAGAAATAATATCTCACCCATGAATGAAAGAAAATGCTTTTTACTTCTATGATATATCAGTCCATCTATTAAATTTCTAGTAAAACGCTCTTGAAAAATTGCGTCTACATCTATAATATATTCCAGTAATAATCTATACTTTACTACCAAAGAGACAATCGAAAGGTCGAAAAAAATATAGAAATATAACTATTTCTGGTATGAATGTAAAATTTTAAGTGTGATACATACAAAAAAGAAAGTGATACAAATGATAAAACATACGAAGATGAGCCTTCGGAAGACACATATGTTCACATTCATGATCGGCACACTTATTTGGATGATCTGGTTGGGCTAATTCATGATACACTCTGACTGTCATTGGACCAGAAACACCATTCATTACCTAAAAAAATAAGAACTATAAGTTAATTCCAAAATTAATTTAGATGAGATGAATACTACACACTAATATTAGTCACCGTTTTGAAGTCACTGCCAGTGAATTTATTGGCGGTAAGAACTCCTTCATGATCCCAGTCTGTCCAGTAGAGACGATCTTCAAAAACAGTTAACGAAAATGGATGCTTCACTCGTTCATGTGAACGAAGTACAAGCCTGATATCTTGTCCCCAGTAGTCACAAGACATAATTAATTTGACTTTTGCATCTGCCCAATAAAGTCTTTGTTCAAGAATATCCAAAGCCAAACCATTTGGCCATTTAATCATTTCACCAGAGATGATTGTCTGAAAATTTTGTTTGTTGCGTTTTGCGCACACAAATCAAGTTCTACAAAAAAGTTGATGAAAGAGTCTGAAGAATTACGTAAAAAGCTATTAGTCTCTGAGACTGACATATTATATGCAAATTACTAAATCCGGACTCTTCTGAAAAACTGAAAAAAAAATTTTTATTTCATGATATTTAATAATTGCAGACAAATTTGTAGAAACAAAAGGATCCAGATTTGAATTACCGTTCTATTGTTACCATCCATACCGGCACGTTCGATACGAGCACTAGTACCCCAATCTGTCCAAAAAATCAACCCACGCAAAGGGTCTACAGCTATTGCGCGCGGTTCATCCAAATTTTCGGAAAACAATGTTCGTCGTTTACGAGTGACTAAATCCACAACATTGATCTAAAATTCATATTTTTAATTTAATGGTGATTGTTGCAAAAGAAGGACCTAAAAAACTCTTAATCAGAGAAACATGTACTTTAAATGGAATGAGAAACTAAAACATATTTCAGCTCACCTGATCAAGGCCAGTATCAGTCCAAAACAATAACTGGTGAATCCAATCCACAGCAAGACCATCTGGTGTGGAAACGTCTTTATCAATTAGAGTTATATTATGTTCTCCTTCCGCACAACCACGGACATCTTCCAAAGTTTTCAAACCTTTACCCATGTGACAAATCATTATCTTTTCTTGTGAAACATCCGACCAAATTAATGTGTCGTTTCTTAAAAATAAATAATGTCTGAATAATTTCACAAATAAGATGCAGCTAGTAAGAAACTCTTTACATAAAGTAAATGATTTTTCGACTTTTAACTCAAAACAAAACTGAAATCTAAAATTTCAAATAACATTGACACTCTTCCATTTGAATTTTCAATTTATTTTGGAAGAAAAACAACTGGGCAAAACATCAGAAGACTGAAGACAGTTTAAAGCTCCACAAATTGCTGATAACTATAGATCTACTCAAACAAATGATTTACGTGATAAATAACTTCTGAGAAGTTATCATACTGGATATATTTTTGTCCTAAATTCTATCTATGAAAAAAAAATTCTGACTTTAAACGGGACACTTTCAACTAATGTCCATATGTCCACCAACATCAAAACATGCACACCTACTCTTTCTTTGAAGAAAGTAATTTCACAAACCTATGTAGAAAGTCCATGGCAACTGCAGAATCAAGCTTTCCAACAAGTGGTTCGTATTTATTTGTAACCAAATCAAACCTTCGAATAGCCGCTCGATTCGAAAGTAATAAAAGTGGATCACTGCCCTTTGCACGACATACACCCATGCTTTTAGAACCTGTAGTGCTCGTCGTCCTATAAAGAACAAATTGATGTATATAGGCAGATTCAAAAGAAAGCAGTTATGCAGAAAATTTTTGTTAGGTGCAACTAAAAAGCTGCTCACCAACAAGCTATCAAAATATTCTTGTGAGAGCAGTACTTGTAAGCTTACTCGACTTAAAATTAGATTCAAATTTATAGTCCAGTAAGCTCTACAAGTGCAGAGGGTGAATGAAAATTAGTAAAAACTAAATGAGAAGATAACCTGCCCATCGTGAGGTGATAGCCAGCATAACATTCACAAATGTATCCACCGACTGTATTTGTACATATTTGAGCACATATACCAACCTGCGCACACTCATCAATATCTTTAAAAGGCTTGGTTAGCAAAACTAAGGTTATACGAAATCAAGGCTATACGAAAAATTCCAAATTCTACAAATAATTAAAATGAAATAAGATAACAAATTAGTAACAAATAAGAATAAAGTATTATGCATTTGCTATTTAAACTTAATTTCAATTCAACCAGTCATCAAAAAAATTTACTCCAATAATTTTTTCAGGTTTATTTTTTTTGTAGATCATATCAAATCAAATAAAGAAACAGTAGTGACGAAATATTCCTGCCAAAATACAGCTTTTTTCATTTTGTAACATAAGATTTTAGGCATTTGAGGTTTAAAGTGTTTTTATCAAATCTTCCCTAATTCCAGGTATTTACCAACAAATGTTTTAAGAGTTTCATAAACTGAAGGAGACTAAAATGATTAGATTTTTACCAGCAATCTGAAAACGATAGCAAAAAAACCAACCTACGCAAATTCGACCTTTCAATTCGAAACCACGGGGGCAGTGACAAATAGTACCATTCATATTTGTTGTTCGACATTTACAATGTGATGTTGATGATTCATCACACAGAGCTAAAAGAGTCAATAACAAGAACTTCTGTTGAGTAAATAAAGCTTTGTCAGTTTTATATTAAGCCATTAAAAATATAAATGATAAAAGGTTTATAACGCACTACTTCTAAAAATAAATTTGAACGTATATTTGAAAAAAAGAGAACACTTCCTTACATAAGTTTAAATGAGATGAGCAAACAGATTTCAAGCAATCATTGTTTGGCTTTCCTTCAACACATAAATCTTCAAGTTTAACGCATTGCACAGGAGCTCCTGGACAACTGTATTCCGTGTTTTCGTCACACTGTTCTGCTGGAAAAAGTGCTGAAGAATAAAATGCAAAATCCCTGGATTAATCTAATAAATTAATTCACACATTGTAAGTACTTCATGGAGAGAATACAGGTAAATTAATCAGCCCAACTCTTTTACTCTTTTTCTAAAAATGATGGTTGTTTGTAATGACATTACTTCAGAGATCAAGAACATCAAATAATGCACTTTAAAAGCATTTTAGAACAGCTTTGAATGTTCAACTGAGCATTGCGATAGAGTAAGGAATTACATATCTGAAGCATGAAACCACATCATACGAAATTTAGCACAGTTCAAGACTTGCAAATATATATATGACATACGCTTAGCATGCACTGCGCAATCCTTTTCATCAGTTCCATCAAGGCAGTCATAAGAACCATCACACCACTTGCTTGCCGCAATACAACTATCCATATCACATTTCTTTTCCGAGGCTGTACATTCACGTTTGACACCTAAACAATATTTTTAAGGTACATTTTTCATTCATTCAGTGGTAAAGTAGAACATCTTTCCATGCAAAATAAATAAGTATAATGAAACTGTAAGAATTTAAAAGATCACACATATCATAAAGTATTATATATAAAAACTATTCCTAAACAAAAAATTACAGTTTTCTTCATCTGAGCCATCAGCACAGTCCATTTCTCCATCACATTTCCAAGCTCTATTAATACAATGGCCTCCATTTTGACAACGGAATTCCTGAAAACAATTTCAGAATACACGAAAGCAAAAAACACCATTATGTGGGAAAACAAGCTAATACACTGAAAAATTCTGTATCAGTCCGTAAATCTCATTTATGATCCTAAAAAGTTTCTATCATACATATTATTTTGTAAATTCTAGAGAATACAGCATCGAGTAGCGTCATGAATATATAAACAATGATCAAGACGAAGCATAAAAATTTTCCAATTTTCTTCACTTACGTTCTTTAATGTTAACAATTTAAAAAGATTACAAATAATAAAGTACACAAACATATCAACTTCGGTAGTTATCATAATGCTTTTGTAGCGCAAATACAAAAAACTTACAAAACTGTGATGGCAAGAAGCAAGCTGTGGGTGCTGACCTAAAGCTGAACCTATGGCCTTACAATCTTTTTCATCTGAATGATCTTTACAATCAGCTTCACCATCACAGACCCATTTTTGTGGAATACATGTTTTACCTGATCCACACTGCAAACAAAAATTATAGACATTTTACAACGGTTCCACTAAAAAAAAAGAAACTAATGCAGAGCAATGATGTTGAAAACATCTGAATTCTTCTTCTACCTGGAATTTATCCTTGGAATCACAAGTAGTATTAGGACACTTCTCAGGATCTTCATCTGAACCATCACCACAATCATCATCACCATCACAAAACCAGTTTTTGAATATGCATACACCATTACTGCATCTAAATTTACAAAATGCATACAAAATAACACAAAACTTTACAGAAATAAAATTCTATAAAATTATAGAAACAAAATTTTTCTAAAAAAACTAATACAATGAGTGGTATGAAGCACTGAAAATCTATTTAACTATTTCAAAAGCAATGGAAAAAAATATGAATGAAAAGTCGATACTGAAACTCGTTTGTGCTGCACGTTTTTATTTTTTCACAATCCTTTTCATCAGACATATCAAGACAATCATTTTGTCCGTCACATTTCCATGATTTCGGAATGCACATTCTGGCATGGCCTTTGTATTGTTCACATACAAACTGGTCCTCTTCACATGTTATATCTAAAATATGTAAAATAATTGAAGCTTTTGGTATTATATTTTAAATAGTCATTTCTTTGCTACTAAATTTAAAATGTTATAGTTCAGGATAACTTTTTTGTACTTTTGTGAGTAAAGCAAGACTACAGCTTAAGAACATGCGACATAAAAATCTAATGGAATGCTTAAAACATTATTTTAGGATTACACTATAGATTTACATAATTCTTTCATGCCTATTAAAATAATGAAAAGAGATAAACTGACATACTTTGACATCCTTTTTCATCCGATGAATCGTAACAATCAGATTCTCCATCGCAAACCCAATTTTTGGGGATACATCGAGATGGATAATTGCGTATTTTTGATCTATGAACTAGAAGTTCGGTAGGTTCAGAGACACATTCAAATTCCTTGTCTGGTTTACACGATATTTGTGCTGAAGTAAAAGATATAAATTTAATGAAAAATAGACTACCGAGATCAAGAAATAACTCTAAATATTTCGCGAAGTTTGTTGCAAGGAACTGTGGATTTGGTGACAAAAAAGTCAATCATCAATCTCCTTTAAGGTATCATGTGTTTTATTAAAGTCAATTATCAATCTAACTGAAATCTAAATGTTTGAAAATATATATCAATTTTAAACGATTCCTAGTTATATAATAAAACACATGATACTTTAAATGAAAAAAACTTTATTGCAAACGTACCACACTTTTCTTCGTCATCACCGTCTGGACAGTCTTCATCTCCATCACAGCGCCAAGACAGAGGGATACATTTCCCGCTGTTACACCTATATTCATTCTCCGAAGCACATTCTAAATACAATACAAAAAACATTCTTTTCGACTGCATGCTTCACCAAAACATAGCAAGTACAGTTTAAAAAAATACAGTTTTTAGATGTATCAGTAAATGATGTCATTCATTCTCTCTATCAGTCAAAATATAGAGAATCAAATTATTTTGTACTTATTAATAAAATTTTTCTGACAAAAGTAATGTATCAACTGTTTGTGATATATCGATAATGAAAATTTAGCATCGATCATTAATAGAGGACAATGGAACTCAAAACTCGTTCTTATAAGTATTATCAAAGGTAGTCCTTTATAAATGATAGAATACAAAATAATGAGATAGACTAACCAGTACTTTCTACAGTACTGACATCGTGATATCCCGAAAGCGCAACAAGTATGAAAAAAGTTAGACAAAAAACCATTTTCCGCGATTTTGATTCTTATAACCGTACAATACTATCAAACAAATTAGCGTCGTTCTTCCATGTAAATATGGATACAGCTATGTTAATATGTTCGGCACGTCTATAACGTAAGATGAAAAGCGAAATAGATAGAAGCAGTGATAAAATTAAAATGCTTGAAATGCTCGCTGAAATTTGCACTCTTACTGCGATCACTGATAACACTTCGTAACTGCACAAAAATAATCTTGCTATTACGAATAACAGAATGGACAAAAGTAGGCTTAAACAGTTATCTGAAAAAATAGAAATAAAAATAAGATACACAGTAATCATAATTGAATTAACGATGCAAATTGCTTACACAACAACACAAGCCATGATATGTAAGAAACAATGATCTATGATATAACTTGCAAAGAGAATGAATATAAAAATAATTATGGAAGGTGACCAACAGAAATATGAAAAGCACTAAATTAAAAAAAATAATATAATTAATAAATCATGGAATTAAGATTAAACTGCAAATAAAGCATACAAGAAATTGCAATTCAAAAATATAAAAAGATGAGTGTATAATTATGAAGAGTGAGAACAACATAAATATAAAATTAAAAAACAAAGAAAACAGGTAAGGCAGTACATAAGTTAATTATCATAAAGAGTCTTGATCTGATAGTTGAAATGAACATGACAGTGGATTCTTGCTTCTAGTTCTAAATTCGAAAGATTTTGCTAGTAAGAAGAGTAAAGGAAAGAAGAAGGAATATTAACTGATCTCGAAAAACATATCACACCAAAACAAATAAAAATTATTCATGTTCAACAAACCTTCCATAATTATTAATCTAAAATTATGTTCCAACTGTACGAATATTATTGGGTCCACTTTAGATTTCATTTCATTTCATTTCTTATCCCACAGCACATTTATATAAATGGTCCCTATTTTAATATCTAAGAATGCGCTGAAGGATAAAAATAATAAAGAATTAATAAGCAAACATTAGCTTGACTGTACAGAAACTACCATCATTATTATCTTAATTAATCTAACAACTATGAAAAAATGTTTTGCTTGTCAAGTTGTTTCTAAAAGCATAAATTATGATATGATATTTTATGCCATAAAGTAATTGATATTTTATCCATAATATATTTCAAAAATTCAATAGTTTTGAAGTCTACGAAACAAAATTTCTTACTGTAAGCAATACTTACGAAAACTGTTTGTATGAGTACATTAATGAAGTCTGGTAGTCTTAATACTTATTGATCTAAAATAAATAGTACTAACTCATTCTGCAATACGAATTGATATTACTCATACGCTGTTAAATAATGCATGAAATTAAGAAAAATAGTTCTTAAGTATGGGTGTAGAAATTATTGAGTGATACGTATGTAAATACGAACGTATACTTTTGAAAACTAAAACTAATATGCAGGCAAAAATGATGTGTACATTCATTTGTGCATATAAATATACATATATGAACCAGAAAGAGATTGAAAGTCTGACTGTGCTGTAGAGTAAAAATTATTGCAATAAAGTAAAAATCAGTACAAAAATTTTTTTAAGGAACTAATAGTACTCAAATTCAGTACTTAAATTCTCAAATTCAGAGACAAGATTTAACAGCAATGACTCGTTGCTACATAATAAACAACTAAAACAATGACAGATTGAATGCTGCTTATTAGTACCGATTTGATATTCGAAACTTCCATCTTCCATTCACCTTGAAAAAAATATTTATTGAGTCTATCAGTTACCTCCATATTTTTCATAGACATCAATACATCTGAGTCAGCAAAAATGCTCTAAACCATACATTTACTGTAAACACAGTAATACATCACATGTTTCAATGTTGACAAATATGAGTACTTAATAGAATTGCATTATTTTGTAAATACAAAAATAAAACAGTCAAATTTAAAATACAAATATAATAAATCTGAGATTAAAATACTTAAGTCATAATTCTGTTTTGTAACACAAAAAATTTTTCACTGCAAATAGCACTTCGTTTGATAGAATATTTGCTTCAATTGATATAAGGCTGAAGATAATGAAAAATTTTAAGATAATGAAAGTAATTAGTACGAATGATTGAATGATTGAAAGACTATAATCGAACAAGCAGTGAGCAATCAGAAAAACAGATTCAAACAGATACAGTTTATATGCAACTTGCAATCAAAATTACTCAGTCATAAACTGGGACGGGCCGTATTTTCTAAATTAGTGACTTATCGATGGCAAATAATTTTGCTATGTGTTTTCACTAAACAAATTTTCATAGTAATTAGCATATATTCAAATATTTGAATGGCTTAACTGGAGTCATCTATGTGTCAATGACTGTTACTGTTGAAGAATTGCTGCTTCCTCTTTGCTTTTTATCACTTTCCCAACGTTATTATCACTGCCAGCAATCACAAAAAATAAGAAAGATACAGCATACTTATCGTGTCTACCTCTCTTTCATCTATCATTTCTGTAATATCGTCATTTGTACTGTTCTCATCATCATCATCATCATCATCATCATCATAATCATAATCATCATAATGAGGCAAAAAAGTACCCGATAATAAAAAACCTGCACGTAATTCACCAGTTCCAGTTCATTTTATTACTGGAATACATTTATGCTTTTGTTTACTCTATGAGTCAGTTCCATCTAAACACTCCCACGCAAATGACTCATCACTTTTTCAATTCAGATATCATTGAACTGTGCGAAAGCACATTTCCATACGGCAGTTTTTTTCTCCTCAGACTTGTAATACAGTAAGTTACACATTCCCTTTCGCACAGTTTATCTGGGAAAGGAATGAGTGAATTCAAAAAATTTTGCTTTTTTTACTTGTTTAGTTGAATGCATCTCTTTCTTACTGATGCATCAATGATGTTTGTGAGATTAACAGTTCTTCATAGTTTTTTAACTTGTTGTCCCGGAAGGAAATTAAGTATTGCGTGCCACGTACGCAAGTGAAAGCAATGCTATTTCTGATAAGGATAAATTATAATTCAGTCTATCTAAGATCTCATTTAATGCTCTTGGAATTTATTTCAGAATCTTTTCAGAGGCCAATGTTCAAGCTGTGGAATGCTTTTTTTTTTCATTTAATTTCAGCAATAAGCATAGTTAGACTGTAAAGTATGTACTTTAGAAGCCGAATTTTTAATCAGTCAAAAAATATAAGCTTATTGTACAGGACATTTAATGATGCATAAAGGTAAATAGGTACTGACTTAGTTGTCTATAATTTATATATGGGCAATATGACCCGACATTTGCATATACCCGAGAACAGGAGAAAATTTTGGTGTAATAAAAAATTACGTCATGAATTGCAAAGTTGTTACATGATAGTGTTCGTGCTGAGATCACCAAGAATGATGCAGTTACTTTGAGATTAAGTGATTATTTTAGAATCGAACGAATCATTTCAAAAAATATAAACGATTGAATATATGTACAGGGAGCAAAAATTTATGTATTATATAAGTTTTGTGTTAAAAGACGGTTAAAAATTATACAAAAATGGCATTAACTATAAGTCATTTTCCTGTTCACGTTTTGACAATAATAATTCCCAGATTTCCGTAATATGATAAAACAAAATGATAATAGTATGTGGTTGATTATTTTCCACGATTGATATCACTGAAAAAATTTCCAAGACCACTTAGAATATTTGATCTACCGTTGTTACGCTTATATTCTGCAACTTCTTCTTGAAATCGTTTTTCTTGAAGTTTTTCAAATGCCCCACATTTTTTATCTTTAAATATGTTTGGTAGCTGCAAAAAATGGATCAAATAATATTTACCACAAATAATATTTCATGAAAAATAATGTATTAAAGCAGCAAATGAAAGTTTTAGCAATTATTGCCTAAGCTTTAAAGTTTTTTCCACGTTTAAAATTTAGATAATTCTCTTTTATTGTCGTACATAGCGGTTGATATCAGTACAACTGGAGGTATTTGTAATAATAAATTGCTCTCAAACTTAAACATTTCGAAAATAAAATAATAAGCAAATTATTTCCGTCTAATTTCTATAATTTTGTCAATTATTTTAATTCAATAAAATGAAGATCAGATTAGATTGTAATTGATTTTGAAATGAATTAGAGCAAATTACCGAGTTCGCTGTTGTAGCAGCTTCAAATAGTAAATTTGTTTTCACTTTTGCTCCTTCAATTTCATAGTCTACAACAGCATGCTGGCAAGCAAGTAAGCGATCAGGGACACGTTTTGAAACCCAATATTCGAGAAGTTCCGAGTTTGTTGGAGTATATGAACCTTGCTATAAAGGCCTTTTTTTTTGTTGCTATATTTATGTATTTGTTTTAAATAAACTATATATATATATATATATATATTTTTCATTAATAGATTTTTCATCTTTCTGCCATCAATAGTACTATATTAATAATTCATCTATGGGAAAAAAGATTTGATGTAAAAAGCATTTTTTCTTTTTTATTTATCTTCTTACTCTGTTACAAATTGAATAACCAACCTCAATCACTATTCTTATCATTTTAAACATACCGTACACTCGTTGAGTATTATTTATCCATAGCTTACACCTAAATTAATCTTTAAATGATGCCATTTGAAAAAGCGCAAACTCACGTCAATGCTATTTGCAGCTAGCCATTCACCAATCATTGCTAACTTGAATGCTTTTCCCAACAATGGATTGTCTAATTGTGCAAAAAATTCTTTTTCCATCTAAAATAAGTATTCAATTAATTTTGTTTACAGCTTACCAAAGATGATTAAATTGTTTATCAATTTCTCAGTTTAATTCTCTGAAATAAGTATCATTGCATACTTGAAGTTCTTTACTTAGCTTGCAGTAAAAATGTTTCTATGACTGAATAAATTGTGTAAGAAAATGGACTGCATAAGTAATTAATTTAATAAATGATATTTATTTATTTATTTATTTATTTAATAATAATAATTGTAGCTATGGAAAAGATGCTTATCTCAGCTCTTGTTTCTCCTCTTTCATAAAATTTCATCCAGACATCAACGGCCCCCTTTTTTTGCCAGTAATCTTTTTGCCAAACTGATTTTGAAAATGCGGAACAAATCGTAAACAAAGGATCTTCTGGTGGAGGACATAATTTCACTGTTAATCGATATGTACGCTCAGTAGTTGATTTACACAAGTTGCCATCTGTGTTTTCCAAAAGTTTCAACTTTCTAAACTTCAATGACTTGGATCGATAGTATAATGTGTAGGAAAAATGAAATTAATAAAAATACTTGATGTAATATTTTTAATCAAAAATACGCTTAACAAATTCTTCAAAAGATATAATATTTAAATTGGACTCTTTCCAATTTATCCTCAGTTATTAAAAATGTAAGCTTTTGTTGGTTTGTTTTTTCTTAAAAAAAGATTTCCACAAAGACATTTACAAAACTTTTCAAACGTCAAATTATCATTACGTGATAATATATGTTTGAAGAGTTATAATTTTCAGTTAATTATAACCTTGTGTTTTTGCACCAATCGCAGTAGAAACACTCACGACCACATGTAGCTACATCCATACAACGTAACTTTCCAATTGGCTGAATCATTACGTCCAATTTCATAGCAAGACGATTGATGTGTACTTCTAGAATTTAAAAATAATTTTCAAATTAAAAAATGAGAATTTCGGACAAAAAAATTTATAAATTGCAAAAACAGTGATTTTTCTGGTACTCTTTTATCGAATGCTCACGTACTTGGTGGTAAAGTTACGTCGATAGACATGTCGACGCAATCAGGCCACGTCAATTTTACCGTATCACCATCGCGTTCAGATGGATGATGAAATGATGGATTTGCTAATTTAATTGGATCAGTGCAGTTTTTGCCAATAATTTCACGACAACATGAAGATGTACGAACATCCTTCAGTTTAGCAATGAATAAATTTTTGCTGATTACTGCCTGTAAAAATGTGAAATTTTAAATAAAGTAGTATCATTTTGTTTTGGCAAGATTTTTAAAAGTTTTTCAATTTCATATTGTAAAATTATGCAAATTACGATACTTGATAAGAACGTTCGCCAAGTTTCTGTATGGTTCCAGAAGCAATTGGTACATCTTTATCATTATAAATGATAGTATTGCCGGATTTGTCAGCAGCTACTTTACCTACACTACGCCCTTGTGCATCATAGCATTGTGATAGACCTGGTGTTTCAGCTAAAAAATTAACTTTATGCAAATAAATAAAATGATAAACTTAGTTGCATGCAATTATTTTTGATTAAAGTGATTTAATTACAGTTATTTCAATAAAGTAGCAACCACTATAAGTTTCATTAAATTAAAAAAAAGGACAAAAATATGGTTTTCTAAAATAGTTGAAACAAAAAAAATTCATGCATTCGGTCTAATTCGCATTTATTCAAAGAGTTGGTAAATAATATTCTGTAATAGTTTTTTTCCTCACACATGACAATATCGTTAATTATAAATTATGAAGAATATTGTTAGCATGAAGTCGAAATCTTTACCGTAACAGTGGTATTTTTCTGATCGTCTACCGAATAATGATTGCAAAAATTCATCATCGCCATTTTCTGCTCCATCAGCTGATAAATAAGCATCAACTTTACGGCCATCTTTCTTGATTATATATGCATATTTGCCATTTTTGCCTTTTTCCTTTGTTTATCATAAGTTTAAGAACATATCTCTTATTGTTATTTTATCATTTTGATTCATCAATATGAATTGAGGAAAAGAGTTTTTAATTCTGTCAGTAATAATTTGAAAAAAATAAAAAAAGACTTTCGGCGTTAAGATAAACGACTGATCATTACGACATACAGTAAGCAATAAATTATGCTTTGAAAATAAAAGAAGCTATTATTTTTCTGCGATTTATTTTTGAATTATGATAGTCAATCATCAATAATGCATAAATTATGAAGCTGTTAAAATGTACTTATTTGTAAAGCAAAACTGCTTGAATTATACAACTGATATCAGAATAGGCAATTAATTCATGAATGGTAGACTTACTTTATCTGTGAATGAAAGAGTTCCTGTTCCTTGACGGTCGTCTTGTTCTACTGGATTCAAGCCAAAATCAAAACGATCATTGGTAGCTATGAAGTCAGTATCTTTTGGATTCTTTAAAGAACCACGGGCAACTGTGTTCAACACATATTTTCCATCAGCTTTTAGGAATGCATGACGTGCATCACTTTCTTCTTTAACTTTTATCTGGGCTCTAAAAATAAAAACAAAAATTTGCAAATTTTACCATAAACAAGTGATTTTTTTTTAAAATAATCCAAAAATAGAACAGTTTTCAGCAAACATTTGATAGTACTAAAGTATCTTGCAATGAAACAATGATAAAAGTTCAGAGTAAGGAAACTTCAGCAATGTGAAAGTGATAGATATCAAAAGAAATAAGAATTCTTATTAAGTATTACCATTCTGAATGAAAATTATCAATGGTAATTGCTGAAGTTTTCACTTGTGTTTCAGCAACATTAAGCATTCTTATTGTCAATTTGCAGTGCAAAGTAGTAGTTTTTATAACCTTTAACAAAACATCTTACTTATGACCTTCAACCTGAGCGACACCACCTTTTTCACCAAATCGCTGCACAAGAGCTTGTTTTCCATCACTTTCTGCGGCTGCTATATTACCTTGAGCTGAAGCACTCAACTGCTTTCCTGAATTGTGGAGATCGAGAATGACTTTATCTGGATTGCTGGCATCTAAAGAAACCTAAAATAGAAACATTTCAATGGATCAAAGTTTTTTAAGTCTTTTATTAAAAAGAAAATTTTGACATTAAAAAAAATTAATACCTTCAAAAGTGAACGAATAAAATTTGCAAATCTCAAAAGAAAAATAGTCCATCAAATTCATCTCTGCAGAATGAAATAAAAGATTTCAAAACTTATCGATGCTACACATAATCAGTTCACTTGAAAAACATTATTTATCTAACTTGTTTAATTGTCATTTCTAAATGATTTACTAAATTATGATGATTTTTGACTTTAATAGATAAAAAGTAAGTAAAAGATTGACAATAATTAAATGAATTAATAGGTAAGTAAATACTTTTTGTGTTTCATTTTTCTTCAGTTCCAACCAGGATGTATCAGCATCGATATGTTTTCGTTTCATATTAATAGCAGCATGATTTGGTGGCGGTGTGCTCATTTTTATTACAGGTAAATACAGAAGTAGTAATAAATTAAACAATAGCAACATTTTGTTGGAGAAAATTGAACTAGACTTATGCTGCTGCTATATTATTATATACCAAAAAAGAAAAAAAGCAAGTAGCCAAAAAGAATTAGCTGACAAGGTGTTTATAAATAAGTAGTGCAGAATTTCAAAAATCCTGAAGTTTGGCAAAATAATTGTAGTTTACAAAATTACAAAAGGCTAAATATTAAATAGATGTGATTGTTACTTAGCAGCACGTAATGAAGACAAACGATGAGAAGTATAATTCCTTAGATGAGAATGTAAAAATTTAGATAAAATATTGGATGGCGATGGAGTGGATGACTGGTTGGTACCGCAATAATTTGGTTTAAGATGAATGGATTGATGTCGTCATAAGCAGCAGCAACATCAGCAGTTCAAGAGAATTTCATTGAGTAAATGGAAAGACGATGATGGCAAAAGGAACGGATCACATATGATCAGACCGGTTCTTGCACTGAACCATCAGTTGATACCCTCGGGGTTTCTTATCCATTCTTCTTCTCATTTTCCACTTGTTCCATCCCGAAAAGGTATCATTATATATTGGATCTGGTGAGAAGTAATGTTGATGTGATTCACCAAATTATCACTTTTACTACTTAAAACTTCAAATGAATTCTTTGAAGTATATTCGAGAAACATCACAATTTCTTTTTCTTTTCATTTGCTTGAATTTATCCATGCTCATAAAAATTTCGAAGAAATTGGCATCCATTTTAATGAATATGATAATAAACAAGTTGATATTGCATAACTTGCTCCTTTGCAAGATTTTACTGTCATTGTAATAATTTAAATTATTATTTAAAAGAAAAGAAATTCATATACTCCACAACTAGTAATCATTTGAAAATGAGTAATGCAATGCAAGACATATCATTAATCTGCAAATCAGCAAATTCAAAAAGACAGTAATAAAGAAATGCTTTTTATGACTCACACAATGCATTTCTAGTTCTTAATTAATATCCAGTAAAATAAGTCATGCTGCTGTTTTCATTTTGAATTTTTAATTTCGTTCCACCTTGCATATTTTCAAACTTTTAATTATTAGAATATTTCGCAAACTTTTGACTTCTAATTCAAAAAGAGCACAATACCATCTAAGACGCACAAAAACCTGAACAACAATCAACTGATTTTGAGTTTCGGTTGTAATAAAATAATAATATTTATTTCCGGACAAAAATTACTTTGTGTTGCATGGTCAGTAAATTGTTTTTCTGGTCATTCTGTGATTTTCAATTTTCATTTTCTTCTTAAAAAAAATTATCAGTCGCATTGTCGAGTGAAAAAATTATAAAATTAATAATAATCATAAAAAATTTTTTCTGTTCAACCTACCAACTACTCATTTTTGCAAAAGATTAGTGAGTGAAATTTGAAAAAAAAAGTAAAATTGATGCTATTCATCATCGAAATAACCTGAACTTCATATTATGATGTAAATTATGTAGAAGAAAATCAATGCAAACCTGTAGTTCAATCATGCACCAGCATTATGGAGAAACATATATCATAAAGATACCTGATAATTTTTGATAAAACTAGACTTTAATTTGCGCTGCTTTAACACATCTGTATTATTTTTTCAAGTATGAAAGCATAAACATACATTATAAATAAATGAAATCAATGCTGCCGCAAGCAGCAGGACTTCATTGGGAAACAGCATTCTGATCATCTGAATTATATTCTTACTATAATATGATATTACTGAATTATATTCTTACTATTCATATTAGAACGAAATAATACAGCAAGCATACACGTTTCATGACAGCGAATAGCAAATTATGTACTCAAAAAGTAGAGATATTTTTGTTTTCAACAATCAACAAATAGTCGAAAATCATTGAATTTAATGCGTAAAAGATAATAGACATAATGAGCCTAAGTGTAGTGAGTACTATTATTAGAAATCTAGTATTAAAAATGTACCAAAAAATCTTTTCAATACTCTTGATCTAAAAACAGTGTATAGAAAACAGGAAATCAACCATTTCCTTTGAAAAAAAAAGCAATTTCGTGTACCGAAATATGGCGAAATTGCTTTAAGACGAATATCCTAGAACTCAAGAATGTAGTTACCTACATTTTCTTTCACAAGAAGACTTATTAAAAATTTGAATAGTACTGGTGAATAGATAAATTATACATTCAAGAATTTCAGTTGCTTGATTAATTCAGTGCAAAAATGGAGAAAAATGACAGATTATCTGTGAAGCAATAAACGGATAAAAAGCAAAACTTCTTAGCTTATGAGGATCTCGGTGCATTATACTTTTGTCAAAATATCAAGTTAGAAAATATTATGCATAAAGCGTACTGTTGATACTTGCATATTTATAAATAATGTAAAGAATTTTACTCAGAAAATAGTTTTTTTTTTTTTTGAGTTATCATAAAAAAGTTTGTAAATTTGGAAACTGTTGAATTAGTCATACTTACGGAGCTATTCTATCATCTGTGTACCTTGAAACCACACAACTTGTGTTGTATGAAATGGTTGCATTAACAGGCTACACATACAGACGTTAAGCGAAAATTTTCATAAATGGATAGAAAAAATGGTTAATGATTTAAGGATATGCGAAACAATTTGCCACTTATCAAATAATGCATTGTCTACTTATGCAAATACAATTTAGAACTCATATCCTTTACACGTCCGTTTCTAAAAGTAAGAAATTTGCCTCATATCCTTTGCACGTCCGTTTCTAAAAGTAAGAAATTTGCAAGTGTCTATAAAAGAGTGTTGCAAGCAATAATTTTTCATTTTAAGTAGAAACGCGTGGTTGAAATGGTGCCTGGGAAAGAAATTGTCCAAGATGTGAGTCAGAAATTTGGGTTGTTTGATTGCTTTCATTGTATTTATTAATACATATTTTGCTCATTTTTTCTTCAGTATCGCTGTGAACAAATTTCTTTTCTTGCTTCAATAAATTCCTGAAGTTTTAGCTTATAACTGAAAGTAAATTGGGGGTTGACATAAAATGCAGTACCAAAAACGTCACGCAGGATTTTAAACTTCTAACGGATGAACAAGGCCGGAACAAGAAAAAAGTTTTATGTCGTCGGTGCAAGGGGGAAGTTTTCGCTGCTTTGCATGCAAAACTGATAAACGGTATTTCTTCAGAATTCTCTCAGCTTAGTTTTTTTCATATTAATTATGCAGCAATTTCGCCAAGTAACCTGAGCACGAAATACTTGTTATTAGATTTGCTTTCGTACATATTCAGTAAAGTTTGAAGTACGAGTTTGATCATAAATTATTTCTTCTTATACATTTCCAACTTTGACACTACCTATTCATATTTTTAAGGCAAAGAACCAAAAATGCTGAAAGAAATGAGTGTTGGTGGTAAGCTAGGTCAACAGTGTGAGAAGACAGACGTATGGTGGTTTACCAGCAACGAGTATGACTTTGAGACGATTGGGTTCATGACCTTAGATGGTGGCCTAAATGCTCTCATGTGTGGTGATTGTGAATTTGGACCAATAGGATGGCGTACTAGAGATAACAAGAACTTTTGGGTTGCTGCTGAAAGAATGGACTATGCTTGATTTCATTTGAATAAATAATTTGTATTCTGTCATTTCACATCAGTCCACATAAAGCTTTTGTATAACTCAAATTATCTCTTATAAAATATACCTGATTTTAGCACAAAAAAAGATAAAAAAAGTATACAGTGCACGATAAAAAAAGTTTAAAAAGCATTTGAAGGCACAACGTCATAATTATTTTAGAAATTTATGAAAATTCAAAATCCTTTCTTGAGTGTCGCTAAAACCAAAATCACATTTGCATACTCACCTTCAAAGATAAGGCAGTAGCAAAATTGATGATCTTCAAAAAGCTTTGGTGCTGAGAATAAAATTTTAGCAATCAATGAGCTTAATGTGTAACTGGACTATACATGATCCAGTGACTTCACACTAATATGAAAAATACGTTCAGGAATAAAGATCGAATGTGTTATGAGATATAATTATGTACAAGAGATTACGGATCTGGATTGCCCTGATCTTTTGGCTATCAGAAGGCTCAAGTCCCATCACACTTTTTGTTCGTCAGAACGTCATTCTCTCTAAGTTTGAATTCACTCTTTTCCTGATTACTAAAAAGAAAGATGTGTAAGCCATAATGAATATACAGAGACTAAAAAAAACATACATGCATATATACACGTATTATTGGTTCTGAATCATTACAACAAGGTCCATGTCCAAGTACAAAATCAATTCTATATGATGCAACATAAGTTTTATGCTAAACTTTTATAACTTTTGATGTTGTATGCAACAGCTTGTTAAACTTGTGAAACTATCCAACACTGGCTTTTCATAAGTTTCAAGAAGTTCCAAATGTCTTCCTCATCAATTAGGTTCAAAAGTTTGAATTAAAAATCAAAATTTACAAACGTTTGATTTCCCTCAATAAATATTTCTTCGAGAGTTGCCTTAATGGAAATGAATTCGATTTGATGTATTGAAGACAACAATAAAGCGAGTGAAAAATGTCCATAATTTGCATTTTACTAAAGAATATTTGTTCACTGCTATAAAAATTTACAAGCCTCATACTGTAAACTAATAGAAGCATCTTGTTCCAATCTAATTTATCCAATACTCTTAAGCATTCTATACTTTCAGACTTGTAAACATAGTAATGATCTTCATGATCGCATCGCCTCGTGTCATATGCGTGTTCAGACTTCATAATAACAAAAAGTTTTTTTCCCCATTTTTTTCCTTTCAAATAGGACATAATGTTATTGAATGACGAAGAAATTAACACATAATTCAATTTTATCGCTGAAAAGGGTAAAACGATAATTACTGAAAAACTCAGTTTTTTCAGCTCGCACCATCAATTCTTCACAAAAAAAATGGAACGCTGAAAAGTGTGAATAAAGTGTGCTTCACTGAATTTTTAGCATTGCAATAACACTTAGTTCAACATGAAAGAATTTCTATCCACATTTTTCTAATTTTAAAAAAGATATATCAGTGGTAAACATGGAACAAAACATGGAAAATCAACAGTCACATTAAATGAAGTTTATGTGAGCAAATATAAAGATTCCTAGAGTGGTATCTAAACTATGAAACACTGGCAGCTATATAAGAGAACGTGTATTTGATGTGCCTACCGACTTTTATGAAGTTGAATGTTAAAAACGAGATTTGAATGGAAGCGAAAATTCTGATGAAAGTGAATTAAAGACTTAAGATTTATTGGAAATTGCATTTAATAAAGGAACGCTTTTCTTTATATGTTTAGTACTTGGTGGAGCACGATTAGGCAGATTAAATGACTAGTTTAATTTTTGAGACTTGGAATGGAAGAAATAAACTATAACACAACACTTAGTACTGTATATCATAGCATGCTTACAACAACTATTATTTGTTACAAAATAATTCGATCGTTTCTTGACCTTTCTTCTACCAATTTCGAAGGATACCGATTATCACTAATGGTATTTCCAACTGCGTAGATATTTTTTTTGAGTAGTCCATTGATCACATGGTTTCACATTACGTCCATCAATTGCATTTGCCATCAAATCCATCTTTATGCCATTTAATGTGATATCTGATATGCAACCAACAAAATTCTCTTCATGTAAATTATTTGTCATGGCTTTTAAATCTGGCACACCTCCTGAAATAAGCAGACTTTTTTAAAAATTGAACCGATCAGTAATAAGAATCATTATTACTTGTGATTCTGTGCATGCTTATCATATATTAAAGAAAAAATAGAAAATACGTATGTAATATACTAATTTTTACGATTTGAATGGTAGCGAAAATGAATGTATGGTAATTAAAAAACAAAATTAATTGAATAATTAATAAAACAGAAGCCTTTAACCATATAATAATTTTTATCATCATGAAGTTATTTAATATTATGGTTTAGATTTTAGGTTTGTTTCCATTTCTTTTGCTAATATCGGAAAAATGCTAAGAAACCAGCTATTTAGAAAACTTTTGTTTGAACAAACCTAAAATCTTGCCTCAGCTGTTCACAAATTACTTTAGAATGGGTGAAAAAGAACCTATATAAATATTGCCTTCTACGTTAAGCATTGCAAGAATACCAGCGGACGAGCCTTCAACAACTGGCCCATTATCAATTTTTAATTTACCATGCCGTCCTGTACGCCAAATTTGCAAGTAATGTTCTCTACCGTCATTTACTGTTTCCACGGAAGATAACTGTGCAGCGCCACCACCAAGTTCATATCTTACAAAAAATTCAAAGAAAGCATTAAGATTTTTAAATAAGCTCCATTTCTTTTGCTAATATCGGAAAAACGCCAAGAAAACAGCTATTCAGAAAAAATACAGTACATAATCATTTATGAAATAATAATTTACTCACGAAAGCAAAAGGTAGCCATCATTAATACCAATAGACATGTAATCTTCGCCATCTAAAGGTGTTCCTATCTGCTGACCTTGCCAGAATATCAACTGAAATATCATTAATAATCAGTCCTTATAACATTCTTACAATGGAATAATCGAAATGCACCCACGATTTTTTCTTGCTAAACTAAATGTTATGGGACTTACTCCATACAAAGCTGACGTTTTGAATCGCAAACTTATAGTTTCTTCACGTTCAGATGTTAAATGTGGAAAGTCATCACTTGAAAATACGATAAAAGCTTTTCCATCAAACTTTGCAGCGTGTTCAATGGGTTTAACTGTCAAAATTCATTTAATAGTTATTTTATTTTTGTCACAAATTTTTAATTAAATTTTTTCTCAAAATGTAAAAATAGAAATTATTTATAAAAACTTCAAACTTTTAGTAATTGATGGTAGTCATCAGAAATCAGTTGCAATTAATAAAAATGAAACTAACATATTTCACAGTTTGGTCCATCATAGTAATCTCGACAAGAGCAAGAGATGTGTGTTCCATTAATTACATCACAGTCACCATGTTCTCCACACGTATCAGGTTCACATTGAGCAACGCAATCTGTTGTCGAATACATTTACAACTGATCTAATGATTTATTAACGAGAAAAGTATTTTTTAAATAAATGTTCTAAATATCGTCAGGAAAAACAGAGAAGTTTTTTTTTCTTCTTTGAGTTTATTACACTTTTTTAATTATTTTTTGTTGCGTTAGAAACTTCATTCAATAATCTTTTTAACTTTTTGCTCTCAAAAATTAATTAGCTCAAATTCAAAACTTTATGATGAATTATATAAGGACAAGTGAAAATAATAATAATACAAATAAATATTATTTTCAACTGAAGATAATGAAGATTTCAAAAAATCTTCAGTTGATTCAAAGAAACCTTTTCCTAGAGTGCATGAAGTTGTAGTACTTGTAGTTGTTTCTAAAGAAGTTTCCATTATCTGAACGAATTCAGAAGTTGAAGGTATTTTGGTAGTAGATGTCCTCCAGATAAATGGCGAAGGAATTTTGTCTATACTTTCTGATTTGTAAGGTTTGCATTCCACAACACCGTGCGAGGATTTTTTGACCATTTCAGTCAAATTCAAATTATTTCCATTTAATACAATCTTCAAGAAAATAAGCTTCACCTCCCTGTTTTACAAAAATGTTGAAATAAGAGTTACGGCGACCTAATTTTTTTTATCCTTCCAATACATAACAATTATTATGGCTTATCAGAATGCAATTTTAAAAGTCATTTCTATCATAAATTTTGCGCAAAATAAGGTTTAAAATAAAAATAAACAATAACCATAAATTTGAACAAATGCTTTACCTTTGAAATGCAACCTGCAAATGGAGTAGCTGCACTTATGACCTCATTTACCATAATTCCAGCAGGTATACCACCGATAAATATATTGGTACTTGGCATAAATGACGAGAGATTACCCAAACTTGAAATTTTCTTTTCATTTACTTGTAATTCAGTCTTACTGCCAAAGTGTGTTAAGTTAACATAATACGGCTCATTAAGTTTAATCTTTTCAAATGACTCGATTTCCTTATCGCCTGAAAAAGTTTGTTTTAAGATGGATACTGAAAGTAATGAGGTAAATAATTAGATACAACACTTTTTCTAAGTATCGTGAAATCGGTATTTTATTTAAAGTCATGATTACTATTAATTTCATCGCTTTTTGGTTTTATTTTGAAGCACAGAGATATTTATTTGTTCCATAAAGCATGTAGTAGGTTTAACTTTAATTTCTTAAATACAATAGTCCAATTATGACTTACGTGATTTTCAATTTTCTCAGTTTTAATAATTTTATTTTTTTTTTTGCCTTTTAAGCAGAAACCTTTTTTTGCTCTTTTTTACACTATTTTAACATTTAAAAAAAGATATACCATCTCCGCTGCTGTAAAAGTGAACAAATTTGCCATCACGAATTCCAATTGCCAAATAATTGGCTCTTTCATGATTATAATCGGATGCTAAATAAAACAAAAACTGATCCTTCATCGATCTCACTTCCATTTCCATATTCAGCTGAAGAAAATTAATACTCTGAATATGGTAAAAATTGGCTGACCCAAACTCATAAAGCTCAATACAAACTATTATAAATGTTTGAAAGCGACTTTAAAAACAAACACTAAAATTTCGTAGCGTAGATGGTTCCGGTAAAGCAAGGTAAGAATTTTCACCAATAAACTGAATAGAATGTAACGTGTTCATATTTTCCGAAAACTGGCACAGATCACCGTATTTTCCAGGTGAGCAACGGCAAAACTCCGTACCATCAAGCCGTCTTACACACTTTCCATTCTCACATGTAGCTTCAAGATGTCAGAATTTTAGAACAGTTTCATGCTTTTAGCATAAATAGAAATTTTACCTTCTTTAATGATTCATTACTAGTAAATATACTGCAAGAATTTTACTCTAGAACTATATTCAGACAAAATATCATAATTTGAGTCCAAAAAACTTAATTGAATGAAACTACGAAATATTTAGTTTAAATACAGAATACCAATAATAAAAGTTATTCTTACACGCAATAATTTATGAATAATGTTTATTATTTTAGAGAATTTATTCAGAAACGAATTATTTTTTTGTGCTATGCTCTAAATTTCTACCAAATTTCCAATGATATTATTAGATTAAATGTATAAATAAAAACATATACACAAAAAAAGCATATTTAAATAAACACCACTGTTGCATTTCGGAATTTGCCGTTCACAGAATTCTCCTTCGAAACCGAAGGAAGTTGAACAATCGCATATAAAGCCTCTGTCGACGTTCTTTGGAATGCATATCGAATTATGCTGACATAACTCTGATGCACAAATTCGATTTTGTCGAACATTTACTGATTTTTCAATCAAATCTTCACCAAAATTCATTGTTTTATTTGATATTGTCAGTGAACTGATAGAGCCTTCAAAATTTTCATCACTTATCTTGCCAGCTGAGATAGAAATTGCAACTTTTAATCATAATAATGATGCCAATAATAATAAATTTATACTAAAAATATTGCTACAAAAAAATATTCCTCTTAGCTTTAAATGACGCAAATTTGAATAATACTGACAGATATTAGCACTTAAACAAGTATATAACACTTACCAATAAATAAACTATCAAACTTTGTCTGTAACAAATCCAATTTATTCTTGACACCACCCATAACAATGGTACTCGGTATTTTTTGATTAATACTGAAGTAGTCTTCTTGTTCACTAATGTCATCCGCATCCACTACTAACACAGCTATAATATTTTTTGTTAGACATACATCACAAATCATTCTAAAATTTGTATCTTTTTAGGAAGCATAACTCATGTTAGTGTAATAATATATCTAATCCCAGCTGTAAAATGTACCAAAATTTAAGATAAATAAATTACTGAAATAGCAAACTTTTATTTTCTTTACTGTTAATTTGAACTTTGTGCCATTCACTCATTTGTATTGGGTGCGCACTTCTTAATTCCACTGAAAAAAGATCATAAAAGACATAAGACCGTAAGAAAAAGTAACAATCAAATAAGACCAAGTTTTGCCATTAATTTATTTTATACCGTTTGTAATTTTTTTTGAATAATAAATCTTTTGAATAATAAATCTTTTGGTTTTTTTTTTTTTACCGCGAAAAGAAAAAGCTGTAATGATCAAAATTATTGAAATTACTGAACATTGCACATGTAAGTAACCTTTTTGGTCAATAACATTCAATTTTTTTCATTTGATAGCATAAATTGAAATATCAGAATGTGATTTTTTGAAAGCTAATATAAACATACCTGGTCCATTGCGAATATCATAACGATAAATTACATGTCCATTTTGTAATCCCACACTTAAATAATGTACTTTTTCATCTGACTTAGTTCCACCCAGCAGTTTAGTATAAAGTAGCAAACCTGAAAAAATTAATATTTCTTCTAATTTAAAGCAAGTAGCAGAAAAAGCAGAAACTAATGATAAGGAATCAAGTATTCAAATTTTGAATATTGATATAGTGTTACATAGATACTTGACAAGGAAAAATTTGAATTTATATACATTAGAAAGCATTGGTATCAGAGATCCAATATTTGCTTTAATTTCTAGTCATGATTTTTTTGTTTGCTTTTAAATTATCCATAACTTATAAATCAGTTACAGACCATTAGCTGCTTCTGGTTTAAAAGCAATTTTCATATCTACATTATTATTCCACTGATCTTCTGTTAAAGCTTTCAATTCTACGTATCCATTTCCATCGAATTCAGGAACAAAATCTGAAAGTCCGTAATGAAAAATGTACTGAAAACTGTAAAATTTCTGCTGCTCAAGCTGAAATTTGCAAATAGTAAAAGAAAATAGAAAAATTTTGCAATAGAATGAATTGAAGATTTACCGGAAACTTTTAAATGTACATGTGTGACGATTGCCATTCCAGAATCAGTCTTTACAGTACATCTGTAAACACCTCCGTCTTTTTGCTGAATATCATTCACAATTAAATTACCTTCACGGATTAAATTCATATGTGACAGTTCACCATCAACTTTTTCCCAGTAAACTTCTCTCTCAATATCAGGTGCACCAGTAGCAGGACATTGTAGTTCAACCTACAATTTTGTTATTTTGTTCAAAAATGATAGCATTTCGTGCTTATATATGTTCAAGATCTTTGTCATGTATTTTAAATAAAAATTTTTTTTTTCAATCTTTAAAATGATTTAAATGATTAAAAAGAAAAAACGGCCACATTTGAATTCAAGTAAGGTTACAATATATCAAGTAAGATCACGCTATCAAGTCAAGTAAAATTACATTATGTTATTAGCATTATTTCATTTAAATCTATTATAAAAATATGTATACTTTCGAATTTATAAAAAATAATTTTTCCTTCAGAAGGAGAAAAAAATTCATTTGAATTATATTCCATTTTCATTTTAAAAAAATAGAATTATTATACGGTAGATATTAGAATGTATTATATTATACTGAAATTTAGCATGCATGCATACCTCCTCACCAATAGCTGCAATAATGAGAGGCACACTTTTTTTGACTTGCTGAATGTTCTTGCTCGGTGCTTCATCTAAATTCATATCAGTTAAATTAAGCAAATTATATTCACATGTTATTGACAATATTTTATGAAAATTGACAACAATTCCATTATCAAATCATTATTATCACTGAGTCCATTCTAAAAGTTTAAATAATCTGTCTCTGGTTCATTGTAATGCTCTTAAATATTTTATGCACAAATAAAATAAGTATGCATAAAATTCTAGACTAGCTCAAAGTTTAATACTGATATCACAAGGGGATTTCGAATGCATGATACCGCCTAGATAATTTTATGAGTAATTATGTATAGGGAAAATCAAATTGGCTGCATTATTGTGCAATTGTTTTGTATCTTTCGTTAACTTCATATGAGAAAACAGCTGCTTATCAAAATTTTTGCTGCAAATTTGGAGAAGTTCAATTAATTTTTCAGTTTTAGAGCTTATGACAAATACATTTAGCTTATTTTTTATGCCAGTCCATAAAAATTATAGTTAGAAATTTGCATTTGTAATTTTAGTATGATTAGAAAATTGACATGGTAATTTAGTATTATTTAAATAGTAAAGTTACGATTAATGCTGGATAATTTTTAAGAAATAAAATTAATGTAAAAATATGCAACTTTTTGTAAAATCATAGTTTGATAGTCCTAAAATTTGTTGTAGAAGGTTATCTATACGTGATACAGTACTTCATGAACGTCAGCGTCATAACTATTGTGCGTACGAAAAAGTTTGCGTTCATATAATTATGTAAATACTGTATGCTGTGTCACTTATTAATCGAAATTAGATTACGCATTGATCATATCGCTAAGAATAACGACTTTTACGGTATTGTACAGCAATTGTAAGTAGTAGCAGTAACATTAACAGCTACAGTAAGTAGCGATAACGATGACAACGATTATTAATACCACCACCACCAACACTACCACAACTAGTAACAACAACAGCTACAGTGGCAATAAAACTTTATTGATTTCATAAATGTTCCCAACGACATAAACTGAAACTAAACATTTGACAACTGCGCATTTTTTGAATAAACAGAATAGATCGTTTGTTGCAAAAAAAATATAATTAGAAAAGAGCAAATTAATGACAGCAAAGTTCTAAACAAAAAAAGAAAATATGACCGTTTAAGAAGATGCTAGATGCTCCGTTGTTTTTTCTTCATGGTAATGAAGTTATGAAGTGCAAACAATTGCTGAATATTCAATGCAAGGCATCAATAAGTGTTGAAATGACTTTGCATGTGATCCCGAATCTATTGTTGAATGAATGAATGTAAGACAGTAGTGATAAAACTGATATCAAACGAAAGGGCAGTAAGAAATTTGACTTGCACAAAAGCTTGCTGTTTATTGGCTTTGACTTCACACGAAAACAAAATCTCTGTAAAACTTAAAATCTAAAACAAACGAAATCAAAAAAGGCAGTTGTTTGCTGTGAATTATCGTCTAGTGCATGTATTCACATGTCATAAAGCATAATTCGAATAACTGCTGCTCTACAGTTCGTAAGCACTAATATAATTTTAATTCAACACTGCTTAAATATTAACAATAAGTCTTAACATTGTAAATACTGAAGAAATGAAATTCATTACTGCAATTGCGGAAAAATGAGATGGATTTACTTACTTACTTACTTACTTACATTTCGATGCATTGTTACATCATTACTTTTATATAATCACTTATTCACAGTCCAAAAATTAACTTAACAGCAGTTATTTGAATCAGTTTCAACAAAAATAAAACGAACATAGTCGTGCATATAGATTGTGGGGGTCCGACGATAACGAATATTTGGGTTATAGAAGAAATGATAGCAATAATGATAATAAACACTGTGACGACGACAAGAAAATTAATATAATAATATAAAAAATAGCTACTGATAGCAGTGTAAAAGTATATTGAGACAATAAGTAAAGCAAGGCAGTGCTGAAGTATTTTTGATTGCTTCTTGGGCTGCAGTCGAGATGAGTCCTTCGGGATCCTTACCAAACTCATCCACATATTTAATATCTGCGGTGAAAATCTAAGCAAATTTCCCTCATTAGCAAAGAGTAAATTTAAAAAATAAGTTGCAAGGCAAATTTGAAGAAAAAAGGCATATTCACCAATATACTAGATTTAAGACTTAATGCCAAGTTAGAATGCAGCTATGAGAAAAAACAATGATAGCTATCAATTGTTATACCAATTTCGTAAAGCTGGTCAGGAGATTTGTACCAATGAAATAGCTAATGTTTTGATTACCGGAAATTTTCAAGATACTCAGCAAGCTAAAATTAGTGTAATATAAATAACTGATACAAGAATCCGCATTTATATTACTACTGAGCACCAGGATAATATATCTAATTACAAGTTTTCTTTTTTCAAGTTGTATTAAGTTTATTTTTGCTTTTCAGACGATATAAAATGGGCAGCGATATGAAGCTTGAAATTATGATAAAAGGCTAAAATGGCAGTAGTAATAGTAATATGAGCTAAAATGATAATAATAACGATGATGAAAATGATAATAGTAATAATAATAATAAGTATTAGAAGTAATGACGGCAAGGCAAAATAAACTGAAAAATTTGCGCTTCGAAGGAGAGAATCAATCTTCGGTATATTTCAAATTCAACTTAACAAATTTACGAAAAACTGCTAGTCTGTTTTTTCCCGAATGCTACGTAAGATTCTTTAGCTAGACGTAAACCAGCTGCCGAAAATGGAATTGCTCTTCTTTTCTTTTCTAGCATCATTTCGAGCCACATTATGGGCTCGTTTTTCTTTTTTACGAGAAAGACGCTTTCGCTTGCGTTTTGCATTTCCGACATTGAGCACATTGCGCGTTTCCAACGGACCAGCTTTCGTTTTTGCATGACACTTGTAAATACCACCATTATCCTCACGTACGTTTACGAATAACAAACGATTGCCCATAACCTAAAAATCATATGTGCAATATTCTAATTAAATGTTATTATCACAGCTTTTTTCCACTACCTAGCTGTTGCATAGATACGATATTTGAAGTCCTACCATACCAATCGTCATTCCGTTGAGTTTTTCTGTACCCAAACTTTTTAAAAATCCGTCCGCTACTTTAAGATGTTATTACTAGTATATCAATAACATGTCATCAAATTTCACTTAAAATTTCCCGTGAGTGACTTATTATTATCATGTGATCGGAGTCACTCACTTAATGATGACTTGTTATATTATATTATTATATTATAATAAGTCATCATTGAGTGAGTGGCTTATTATTATATAATAAGTCACTCACTGTTAACAGCAGAGACTACAAAGAGAAAACCACTCTGAATTAAGCTTTCAATAGCTTATAATTTGACCACATTTTACAACTAGCCTTTCTTTTTAAACTTATTTTCACGTTGTATATAAAAAATGAACATCGAAGCACTATCACCATATAGAAAATTAAGTTAACGCTCAAGAACTATGAACAAACTGTAAGCACTACACCTCTATAATTTAAGGAACAAACAATAAGCTGAATTGTTAAACTGTCTTTCAGAGTATGACTAACAACATGTAATATTAAGCGTGCAAAAAAGCCATTTTTATTTTCAAATTTCTCATGAACTAAAAGCTGTTTTCATATTCCAGTGTTCAAATATAAGTTAATATACGAAAATCAGCTTAAGTGATGAATTTCGATCCAATCAGATGCAAGATTAATTTTCAGTGACACAATATCTTTTTGATTTCATTTTTTCTACAATATTACGGGTGAATTAATACCTGTGCATTGTCAGGTAGATCGTCTTCACCTTCTTTAGTCCAGGTGATATCGGCATCAGGATCACCAGTTACCTTGCAATCAAACCATGCTCTATCACCGAGTGAAATGCTTTCTGATGATGGCTCCAGCAAAACTTGTATTATTGTATCCGGTACTTAAATTCCTTATTTCATCTTATGTATATAAATCTGAGTCATTTTTGAACTTACTATAAAATTAATCAATCGAATATATTTTTGAAAAACTATCATTTGCTTATTTGCACAAAAACTGTCAAACTATTAATTACCATAAATTTCTGCTTTAACATATCCTTCAACCTGCTTCCCATTAATATCAACCTTGCAAACGTACATTCCTACTGCTTCATCTTCAAATTCTCTGATCCTGAAAAAGAGCAGAATTGAAAGTTTCAGCAAAGAAATTATGTTTACTAAACTGTTGAATTAACTTTCTCTACGCGCATAATTTTTGTTACATTAAATATCAATCTGGACAAAGTAAGACAAGTAAGCGTAAACTTACATCAGTTTGTTACCAACAACATTCACATCTTCAGATAATTCGCCATCTTCCTTTTCCCAAGTGACATGTGCACCAGGAACCATATAAACCGGACACTCAATTGTTGCAGGTGATTTTTCATCAAATTTAACAACCCGCGCATCTGAAGTAATGTCAGTGTTTGACATATCAATTCATAGCAACTATTTTCCATTATACCGTGATAATAAAATCAAGTACATTTTGGCTCAAAATACAGAGAGCCCTTCAGTTCCTGAAAATATTTCAAACTACATTTCAACTAATCATTGCAAAAAAAGAGTATGTATCAGCATTCTCACAGGTGATCAGGCTACTGACTCACTGATAACTATTATGAAAAATGTATCTAAAATTAGGAATGATTATCAGTACTTTCCTAATCACAAAATTTATCTTGACAAATACTAGATCTCTTCTATATTACCACCATTCCCATGATCATACGAATTATATTAGTGATCTACTAATAACCTGCGATGTATTTGATTTTTTCGTGAAAAAGTAAATACTTAATACAGTTTAGCTAAACTCGTCAATCAGTGAGAATACTTGTAACAAATAAAAGGGAGCTGAAAAAAATTCCATAAGATTTATGAAAATTTCAAGCTGATTTTCTTAACAGACTGGAGGGGTCGATGTATCCGATGGAAACAGCCGCATAAGCTTGTCCGATAAGTTCGCCATCGTCGTCTTCAACTTCACATCGATATACTCCATAATCATTGGATGGATCTGATTTTTTGATCACTAGCGTTCTTTCTTCTGAGAACAGCCGGACAATCTTACCACCCCGAAGTAACGCCCATTCAAAGTTTACTGCATTATTATCACCTCCTGAATCGTTTCACTTCATTCATCTCTTCTCCTTTCAAACTGTATATTTTACAAGGATTTGGTTCGCTCACAAATCTTTTCAGCAGTGCTTCCTGGTGTTTTAGTTAGTGGTTCAACGATCACAGTGAATGCTGACAGCAAAAAATTAAAATTATATCAAGCGATCCTCTCGAAATTGGGTAGACTTCATGGCAAAAATCAATTTGAACCTTGAAGTATGAATTGCGCTTCGATGTATTTGTTGATGACCACGGATTTTTCAACACCTATTCTTCACTGTCTAATTGACGTTATCAGATGTTGGAAATTATCATTCACAAACACCAGTTAATATGTTAAGCCAAAGTGAACATAATGTTATGTTCTTTTCCATGAGCAGAAAACAGTCGCAGCAATTTGCGAAAAAGCAGCAACAAAAACCCAACAATAATTTTCACTATTAATAAAAAAGAAAAAAGTGAGAAAAAATTTGATGTGCAAACATGTAAAAATTGTTTTTAATTCTAGCACACAAAGTATTAAGAGTGAAAAGAAGTGACCAGTGTTTGAATTATGCACAAGAAGGTAGATCGGTTTACTGCGAACACGTTCACCAGAGGTGCTTTCCAGCTGAACCCAGTAGATGCCCTGATCATTGAAATCAACCTGATTCAAGATTACGGATTTATCAAAACTTAGAATAATTGGTGCTTGATGCAAATTGCCGTAGCCAGCTGAACGATACCAAGTGAGAAGATATGTATCTGCTATTTCTGCAAGCAAATTCAAAACCAAGTTAAAATACGAACACAAACACTAAAGCTTGATATTGGAAGGTTCACCTCTTCAGTGAAATGTAAACAACAATGAAAACTAAAATAAATTTGCTAAAAAACTTATCTGAATCAATGCTTACTTGTCATTAAAAATAGATACTATTTGAAGCACTATTAATAAAAATATTAAATAAAAGTTAGTTCTTTTCCTAAGAATTTTGTAATTAATAATGCTAAGACGAATCTAATTAAATTAATCATCAAAGGCATTATTTTCAAGACTTTTTAAATCTAATACCTTCTATTTCTTGCCTCATTAAATTTTAAATACATCACAACACATAACAGTTGACAAATGTCACGATAATAAATTTATGTTAATGAATTTAACAAGGATTTTTTATTATTCATCGATTACACAAAGTTACTCAAGCAGTGTAATTTATTGACACACCAAGCTGATAACATTAAATATCCCTTCAAATATTAGTGAACGAAAAACAGCCTGAAAGCACTGTTGAAAGTTGAATTTTATCTCGTTCATAACCGACAAAAAAAAATTTAGTTTAATGTAAGTATTTTTTTTAACCGCAAAATAATATATTCATTATTTAGACAGCAATGAAATACTTATAAAAATTTTTTAAATTTTAAAAATGAAAATTCTTAAGTGATATTTTTTTAAATGAAGAATTGAAGTAGCAGACCTTCGACCGTGCAAGTCAGTTCAATTGATTCGCCTTGTTCGACAACTCGAACAGCGGGAGGATCAATCACAACTCGAGCTGTATCCAATGGACTCGAATTCGTTGTATATAAGGTTACTCGGTTGCTACCTACTAGTTCGTCATGGCGATATCCTCGACATTCGTATTCACCATCATCTGATTTCTGCAATGAACATAAATTATTTAAATATCAAAATGTTGCATACATAATTAAAAATTCTTCAGGCATTTGTAACGCGCACTACACACTCAACAATTTTGTGGACCAATGACAAAAGACAACAAGTTTGAATAACATTTCTTAAGGCAAAACAAATTAGTATGACAAAAGTATTCCTTTCATCCACAGTTTTGCAACATATTTGTGCCCACAATTTAAAAAAAATAATATTTCAATCTTTTCAACAATTAGAAAGTAAAAAAAAGTAGTTTGAAAATAATCATCTTTTTCTTTAATTAAATTTCCACAAGCACCTATTTTTGTTGCTTTGCATCTTCATATAAACTCATAACAGATGATACTGTCAACTACAATCAACTAACCCTGAATTTAGATATATGTAGAACCCCTGGTTCCGTTTCTTTAGCATCATCCGGAAGACTACCATCAACTTTCACCCATTGAATTCGATCAACAATTTCACTGCCTGTTGCAGCACATACCAAGTCAACTGGTTTACCCGATTCAAACCACTGAGTTGAACCACCGAGAATGGCAACAGTTGCAATTCTTGACGGTTCCACAACTAAACAAAACATATTCAAGAAATGAAATATATGTGTGTTATTGTAACCTTAATTCAGTGAGAAACTGATAAGGTTAATTCTAAGATATCATTATTACAGATGAAATAAAATAGCAAAAATAAAAAATTCAAATTAGCGAAGTTGTATTTTGTAATAAGAACAAATATGCTTGCATTCAATTTAACCAAATGTAATTATCTCTAATTGACATGATCCATTCACGAAAAACTATTTGCAAAAGGATTTATATTCTTTATCTTCATCATTTAGAACCATTCATACCCTCGATATAAATGTCTTTTTTTGCTGACGCCTGAATATTGCTGCCTCTACAGGTGTAGATACCAGCATTGCCAAGGCCAATATTTGGATGTCGAATGAACTGTTCAGAAATAGTTACGGGTTTGAAATTATCTGGAAGATCACCACGTTCTGGTCCCGGATCACTGTAACGTTGCTTATGCAATCAGTTAAAACAATCAATAAAACTGTAGGAAAATTTAAAAACGTTTAGTATACAAATTTAAACGATAATTGTAGACAAATTTTTGCACAATACACAGTTATAATTGTTGTAATGACTCGTGCTTTCCATTAGAATTGAATGTTTTAACGAAAAAGATGCTAGTTTCTATACAACTGCTTAACTGTATAATGCAATCATTAAAATTGCCTAGTTTCCCTTTCCCTTCGTTTCAATGCTTTTGATTCCATTCCACTAGGTGAAATTAATGAGGACAACGAATGAGAATACTGCTGTGCCCTTCGCATTCGAACAAGATGTAAATAGCACTGTACACCCTTTAACTCATGTCATCTGGCTCAATTTTGCTGCGTCTTTTTTTTTTAGTGAAATGTGCAATAACTGTTTTACAACATCAGCTGTTTACAACCCTGTACTACTGATGCACTGTATACAAGAATTTTCAGATAAATGTAATACGATCTTCTAGTAGTATGTTTCCAAAGTCAGTTAGATTTCCATGATTTTGTCTGTACTAGTTTTCGAATTGTGAGAATTAAAACGTCATCAAGTATAGAAATAGACTACCCGAGACTTGATATGCAGATAAATGAAAAAGAAACTTCAAGTTACTGAATGCACTTTAAATTATGTAGGAAGCATAATTTCTATGGAATTCAAAAAGAAACTTCGAGAAATTAGAGAGGACGAAATAAGAATCCGATAGTCACAATAATCAAGCAGTCTTCATCAATGACTTTCAAGCCATATTTTGGAAAGCAGCATGAAAAATTAAAGGTAATTAATTATGTTGTAAATAACTTGCGAAAGAAAAGCAAGAATTGTAAATGCATCAATCTGGACACTTCATTATTTAAAAATGAAGTCAAACAGAACTCTTTCCGCTCATTACATAACTTACAGAAAGTCAATATTAGGAGGTGACTACAAAACTTATACGATATTGCAGAGCGAAAAATAAACAAACCCCATGTTTCACATCTTGTTCTATTGTAATTGCTTCCATATGATTTAACGTACTCTACCAATACTACAGATTCTTCATAAATAATATGTTGTAATTTTTATCAATACTGAAAGAAGTATTATAGATATTATTTTTGTTCATGATTATAATATTTTGTAAATATTGTTGCTAGTTATAATCTCCTGCAAATATTATGAATGCTCTTTCCGAATTTTTTCCCTTCCGTCTACAAATATTCTTCTTCCTTTCGACACTTTCTTGCTCGACGATAAATGCAACTGGAAGGTTTTTGTTAAAACTGAACTGAAGACTAAGTTGAAAAGTACAAAAGTGTGTGTGAAACATCGGGTTTGCTTAGAGCATAATTCCCGCTCTAAAAAAATCTTAATTCAGTATGCTCTGCAATTTCGTATTCTTATCCAATTATGTTTTTCATTTCTCAAAAACGATTATGCAAAAGCACTACTCTGTTCTTCATTTGATGTTGTAGAGAAAAAGAAAGATCAGAGGAAACAAGAAAGATCATTTCAATCGACATATGAATTGTCTTATCAGACTTGGGATACTTGAACAGTGCAATTATTTTCAAATTATCTAGAGGTGTTTATCAATACTATCATTTTGATAACTGATATCTGCCTATATGCTTTGCATCAATATACACTATCCAATTTTCACCTTTGCTTAAAGTAAACTAGACATTATGCAGATCAGAAGTGGCTTTGCACTGTCCCAAGACCTTCATTCACCGTTAAATTTTTCTATATTTCGTGATAAAACTGTTATTATTACTGATTACTATACACTTTGGTAAGTGCAGTGACGGTAAGAATCAATAATAATTATAAAGCAAATTATTGATACACTTACTGTAACCATTCAACTTCCGGTTCCGGTTCACCGAATGCTTCACATTTTACTTCCAACGGTTCACCAGCTGTAAGAACAATACGTGGTCCAGGTGGACTAGTGCGTACTGTAAGTGAAGGCCCGATATTCACTGATCCATGATCGCTTGCCTTGCCAACAATATTAATAGCTGTACATGTGTAGTCTCCATTCATGTCTGATCGAGCATTTTGGAAATCTAAAAAGCCACCTCCAATATCTATTACATCTTCAGGCAGTGCGTCACCAGTTGGTCCTGTCCAAGTAATTGTTGGTTGAGGTGAACCGGTGGTTATACATTGGAGCTGGTGTTTATCACCTGGTTGTCCATTCCAAACACGTGGTACTACACGAGCAGTTGGAGGTATTTCCTCTGAAAAAACAAAAATTATTAAAAATACCTTCAACCGATTACATTAACATATTGAGTCAAAATTACTTCTCATGATGAATTTTTATTTTTATTCGCATTTAGAAAACTTTTGAATCAGAAAATATGATTTTTCTTTTCTGGAACATCTATCTGAATATTATAATGATGCAGCAGAAAATAAAAATCATAATTTCCAGTTAAATCTTTGGGTAAATGACTGAATTTTATTGCCTTCGATGATTAAAAATGAAATTGCAATACATAAAAAATTGAAACCTGTAATATATATCAAAATAAATTATACATGGTCTTTTTTTTACCAAACAATATATCACAAAAAATTAAAATTAAAATTAACAAGTAATATTTTTGCAGGAAAAATTAGTACAAAGAAAACTTATTAAAATCGTTTACATACTTTCGGTAACATGAAGTCGAACAGGTTCAGCTTCACCAGTACCATATTCGTTAGTAGCAATGCAAATATAATCACCAGCATGTGCGTTATCAGCTGAGTTTATTATCAAATCATTATCTTTCAATATGACATCACCTCTCAAAGGTCCATCAGCAGTTTCCTGTGCCCAATGAATATTTGCTGGTGTATCACTGTTTGGATCACATTGGAATCGAGCAGGTTCACCAATTCTTACGACCTGATCAGTTGGTGTTGCAACTGGTTGAGGTGGCTTACCTGCTGCAAATTAATTCAAGCAAAATCAATGAAAAATGAGCATTTCATGTGCTGAAACTTTTTTCACTTTTTAAATATAAGCAGTAGACCTAATAAATTTTTTAAATACAAACAGTAATATCAAACATTACTCTCATGCAAATCACATAAAAAAGAAGGGAATAAAATGACAATTTAATAGTGTCAAATTAGAGATAACGTAAATACCACTCCACAAATCAAATTGTTAACTGTGTTTGGTGCAAACAAACGAAAATTTTCAACTAAATAGATCTTTTTATTACTAAAAAGAAGCAATTCAATCTAAAATTTCAGGCAAAAAAAATAACATCGTGAAATTCAAACAAAATAAGCAAGTACCATTGTCGTCAGTAAAATGAATACTGTCATATTCATGGTTATTACTGTACTCAGCATTATTTTCACGTTCATATCCATGAATGCCATTTTCATCGACTGTTTCATTTTGACTGTCAGTAAATTCAAGTCGTTCCTTCCGGTAATTATCATCATAATTATCATGTGAAATTTCTATTTTATGATGTGATTCCCTTTCATCACCACTTTCTTTCTCTACTTTCAATAATACTGATGGAGCAGCTCGAGAAGTTTCTTGATCTACACAAATATACTTTCCAGAATCAGTTAAACGAGCTTTATCAATGGTTAGCACTCCGTGAAACACGTAAGAACCCTCTGGCAAGGCACCATCTTCAGTTTCAAAACTCCAGTGAAGTGTTTCGGAATGTTTACCAGGTATATAACATTGAATTCGAACCAAATCACCTTCATTCACCGTTAATGATATGGGATTGACCATTGGTGTTTTTTCTTCTAGATATTAATCACGCATAAATTTTCAGATGGTAAAGTCTTGTTGGCATTACTTCTTGTGATGAAGCAAAAATTTAATTTGCATTTTTAATCATATTTGTGTAAATTGTAAATGTGGTGAATTTCTGTCAAATACAAATACAAATTGTCTGAAAAACTTGATACTGTTACTACCACAAACGGCAATGCTATTACAGTGTAGCAGTGCAGTGAAAAAGATAAATAAGTATTTGGTATTTTAGTTAAGCAAGTTGTTATGAACAAGAAATCTCAAACCAATTAAATAAACAGAAAAAAATTGCTGTAATATTATAAAAAAATTTGACGAAATTTAAAATGAAAGATAAACAACACTGAAAAAAATGCGTGAATGAAAAGAAATTGTGATGACAAAAATATTAACATATATTTTTACAAATTTTTTCATTTAAAAATCGCTGGGTTTAGTGATCAATTTTTAATTTTAATACAAATCGTTATTCGAATGAAACAGACAAATAAAGAGCCTAAATATAACAGACCTTTGCGAACATTAATAGTAGCAGGTGATGAACTTGTTGATGGGCCACCATGCGGATCATGTAGTGTGCAAATATATTCTCCTGCATCTTCGGCAGCTGTTTCTGGAATAGTAAAGATACCGTGGCTTTCTTGGGCACTACGTGGTAATTGTCCATCTTCTTTATGCCAGCTTAGGTGAGCATTTGGATCTCCGTCAACCCAACATCGGATGCGTGAAGGTGAACCTTCATCAACCGTTTGACTGATTGGATCAACTTTTGGTCCTTCATCTAAATAATATGTCGTCAAAATGATATCCAAATTGAGTATTAGCAACTTTTTTCAATATTGTATTCTGATTCCGTCATTATTGCAACATTTATCGGTCAAGAAGTAGCATTTATGTATTGATGTATTCATTATATTTATTTTCTTTAGATTATATTCTAGCGATAGATAGCAATATCTAAAGTGCACTTACACATGTATCCTTTTTATAGCCTCAAATAAATTATATTAAGTTAGAAATAATTAGCAATGACCGTTAAATAAATGAAAGAGATAAATATATAAATAGACAGATAAATAAATAGATAAGTAAATAGATCAGAGTAGCTAATTTGTTCAAATCCGTAAAGTCAGAAATAAATTCCCGCTAAATTGAATACGGCAAAAAGGAAGATAAAGCTTTGTTAATTTTTCGGAATTTTATTTAATACGTCTTGCTGATCATGAAAATGAATGTTACAGCCAATATAGTAGAACCTTATTTATATTAGTCACTAAACTCTCATTTGTCGTGTGCTTACTAAATAAATCAAGAAGTAGCATAATGGTGAGAGACAGTCAAAAATCCATAAATTTCATATGTGCAAGAGTTGATAATTAGTTGAGTTAGGCGAAGATTCTGTGAAAACACTTCATAACCCATACTTTATCTAGTCATTGTAATGAATATTCTGTAGGTTCTTAAGAAAACTGAAATTTCTTTTTTATGAGAGTTTTTTCTAAAAATCTATACCTACTAATTATATTTGAAACAGAAATTGAAAATACAAATACTAAAAACGTACGCTGTCTCACGTTGATACGTGCTGGAACAGAATCTATTGGTGCACCATTTGATGAATCTTTTAATGAACAAATATAATTTCCTGCATCTTCGGTTCTCGTCCGAGGTATGTACAAAACTCCATTTTTCTGTGTAGCGTCAACTGGCAAATGACCATCTTGTTTCTTCCACTTTAGCGTATGATGTTGAGTTGAACCAGGTACGAAACAACGAATTTGAGACTGATCACCTTCTTTAACAGTTTGCTCTAATGGTTCAACTTGCGGTGCTACTCGAATTGCTTCCGCTGAATTTATGAACCACAGTAATTTGAATTTAAACTCGAATAAATCGAATTTCAAATCGACAAATTTATTTCTTGAAGGGTATTTGAAAGTTTGAAAGTTCAGAAGTCATACCGATTTACTTGATTAAGAACTCTGAGGATAATAAATGCTCTAAATCAATAACAACACTAATTACTTCCTTGCTATCGACATTTTTGTGGCTGATCACATTAATTACTTTAATTATGCCACTTTAAATAAAGCAAAAATCATTTTACTGTGAAGACTTACGGCTCTCAATATCTTGTCTCCGACCATATGGCTCAACTTTGAATTCAACGGGTACTGAGTTCACTGGTGGACCATACTTAGGATCAACTACTGAACAAACGTAAAAATCAGCGTCAGACATGTGAGCTCTCGGGATATATAAGGTGCCAAAACCATCATCAGATGCTCCATAAGGCAGCGGCGTGCCATCGGCTCTGGTCCATTTCACACGTGCTTTCGGGTCTGATGGTAGCCAACACCGAAACAATGCAGGGTCCCCTTCATTCACCGAAAGAGAGTGTGGATCAACCTGAGGCTTTTCCTGTTCGAGTGGATATCGTCCACGCGTAGATTGCGTTGCTGTAATAAAAATTAATCATTCAGTACAAAAAAGAAGCATTCAAAAACATCAAGCGAAAAAATAATTACACAAGCATTACGTGTGTTTCCTTCATGTGATTCGTATTACATGTTAAAAAGATCTTTATTAATTGCATTTTATTTTCTATTTTTTCAATCGACTCAATAGAAAAGTCTCAAATTTTTTCTGTGTTTTACTCGTTATCTGAAAGAAGCAAAAATTTATAAAAATTTAAGCATAAATCAGTTAAAAATAAATACTCATGGTCGTTCAAAACACGAGCGAAATAAATCGTATATTGTATGAAAGTATTATTTAATCTTGACTAGAAAAAATGATTTTTCGCTGTAGAACTACTTTTAATGATTTTTTACTTACGTCTCTTCACATCCAATCTAGCAGGAGATGAGTCAGCAGGTGCCCCACCATCGGCATCACGTGCTGAGCAAATATAATCACCAGTATCCGATAACTGAGCCCGTGGTATTGATAACGTCCCATGACTATCGATTGCCCCGTATGGTAAGGGGTTATTATCAGCACGCTTCCAGTGCAATACTGCAATAGGATTTCCTGGTACCCAACATCGGAATTTTGCAGGTTCATTTTCATTTACCGTTTGGGCTGCTGGATCCACAACGGGATTGTTTGCTGCAACAAATATTTATTAATCATATAACTTCAGTAGTATCTTAGGATGGTTTTAAAAAAATAAAAGATTCTATTAAACTATCATTTTCAACCCTTGTTCTTTCATTTACGTCACTTCTAACCAGTAATAATTAATTTGACAACTAAAGGAAACAGATATGGTGATAAATCTAGGTTCATCCTTATTTTGACTTCAATATTACTTTGATTTTAATTATTTGACTTTTTATTTTTGAATTTGCACAACAAAAATGAGACAGATAGAAAACTGGGTCAATTGCACTCACGTGGTCGAACGATCAACCTGGCAACTGGACTATCCATTGACGGTCTACGTCCCTCCGGATCGGTTGAAGTACAAATATAGCTTCCAGCATGATGACGTTGTACAGTTGGAATATTCATAATTCCATCATGCTGCTGTATTCCATGTGGTATTGGGCCATTACCTTTCATTTTCCATATGAGATGCGCTGTCGGATCGCCTGGAACCCAGCAACGGAAACGTGCTGGTTCACCTTCTGCGACTGTATTTTCTTCCGGATCTATACGTGGTCGTTGTGTTGCTAGAAAAAGTCTTTTCAGAATTTAAGTTCCTTCTTTTGTTTACAGCAAAAAAATATGCATAGGGTGATGGTAATAAAGGTAGTGTTACATGCAAATATGTACTGTTAGGGGTGAAATCTTTGAACCATGCAAATAGCTTGGCTAAATTTTTCGTTGTTTTTCAACATTGTTTTGCTGATTGCACGAAAAGCAAATGCTACAAATAAACTAGCACCATATTCTTTTCATAAAAATAAAAAATTTTCTTAAACATTTTGATCACAAAAGCAAATTAAAGGGAAAGGAAGTTATGCTACAACAAATAATAGTCTTATGATTTCAATTTTATGCTTTCTAAAAGAAAATAAAAAAAGCTTGGAATTTTTCGAAAATATACTATTCAATTCCTGTACTTACGACGTTTGACAGTAAGACGGACAGGTGGTGATTTTCCGATACCGTATTCATTTGAAGCAGTACAAATATAATTTCCGGCATCAATTAACTGTGCCCGAGGAATTTTTAACGCACCACCACTTTGGTATACGCCATGAGGTAGTGGTCCACCAATATCTTCTTTATGCCATGTCAATTCGCAAGAAGATAAACCAGGCACCCAACAACGATAGCTCACAGGATCATTCACATTTACAGTCTGCTCCAAAGGATCAACCATTACTGGTGGCGGTCTACCACCAACTGAATTTCGTATATTTTCTGGTGCTTTTGAATATGTAGGCAAGCAAAACATTTAAAAGACGGGAAGTAATTTTGCTGTGTTGGAAAAATAAGCAATATCTCGACATAGGTGCTGTTGTCCATAAGGACAAAGAAAAAGAATAAGCTTACTGTGATATCAGAATGAAATGAACGAAAAGGTGAAAGTTTAAATCGAGGTGAAATTATTTGCAAATTTATTAGTTCAGATATGAGAATTTAGGTAACAGCCATAAAAATGTAATTGCAATAAAGTATCAAGCAAATATAATACTTACGAATTATTTTTTCATCTTTGGAAACAATTTTTATTCTATATTAAATTTTATCGTATAAATAATATGATAAAAAAGCTACGCGGTGCAGAAAGAATTAAGCTTTGTCATATGGCAAACAAGCTAAAATTCACTACTAACATGGATCGTAGCCATATTAGTTAGTGATGCCCAATAACTGCCACTATCAGATTGTTTGAAGAAGTGTGCAGAGATTACTTGTCAAGAATTCATGCAAATTGGAAATCAAACTCAGCAAGCGATAACAAACCTGGTGTTTGTTCCCGTGTTGTAACCAAAGTCGCATCATCTGTAGCAAACTGATGATCACCAGCTGCTGTACATCGATACTGACCTGCATCCGATTCTCGTACATTATCAATGACCAGCTCACCATCATATTGTACTGAATTGCTTGGCAATCCAGCAGTGCCAACTTTTGACCAGTGTAAGCGAACTCCTGGACTCTAAAAAAACTCTCTAACTTTATTTTGTTGCTTTGGAACCATGCAATTCGTTTCAATAAAATGCATTGGAAAAAACGACATCCTAAATGTAATAAACACTATTCACTACCAACTTTTGTTCTTTCACATTATTTTTGTAATTTCAAAATTAATAATTGCAGTCGCATTCCTAAAAATTAGGTAAAAACAGTAATTCTTTCTGCAAATGTAATTTCAATGCAATATCATTAACTTAACTTAAAAATTTTTTGTAAATAGGAAAAATGAATATTAACATAAAATGCACGAATTATTTCTTCAAAAAACACTTAAAATATTTATTGTAGTTTTTATAGCGCAAAAAAAGAGGTTAGAAATTAAAATTAAAATTTTATACACAATAAAATGGTAAGGAAGGATACGAACCCGCTCGCCGATAATTCGGCAGTACCAACGAACTCTACCACCAACTGGTAGATGAACGTTCTTCGGAGCATCAATTTGCACACGTAATGGTGGACCATGAGCTGAAACAATACAGATACCATTTAACTTCATTAACTTTGTAAAAATATTCCGGAAATCTGCCATAAATAATTTTCCGGACTTATTTACCTTTCCGATCAAATTTAATTTGTATAATAGATGCATGCGTATTTTGAACATGATTGACAAGCCATGGTAAAAGCTATGTGTATAATAATACAGTGAGTGCTTCAAATATTCTCAAATCAACCAACAATCTCATCAACTCAAATTAAATTTGGTTATTAATCACAACAAAGATCTGCCAAATGACCATATATGATAAATGCGTCAAATGCATCTTCAAAATGATCAAGTTAACTCAGCAGTCACCCGTATGCAACTTTGGCATTAGATCTTCAATATGCCAGCCAATTCATACGCGGACAGAAACATTCATCTAGCATTTGTCAGATGTCACTAATTTATGCTAATGAAAGTACTGCTTTAGTTAGTGTCAACTACAACTTTTCCGCTTGCCTTTGTTATAAATCTTTCATAATTTATTGCCTTGAAAGATTGTTTACAGTTTTTAGAAATCTTCGAAATATCTCAATGGTTGATTTTTCTGACCTTTCATTTAAGTTTGTAGGAAAGCTTGGAATTTGAAAAAAGTGATATTTTTTAATGTTACTTTAAAAAATTGCATGACTCATACTGGTGCGAAAACTTTCTGCCTATCGGAAGATGAAAATTGGAATCAAATGCAGTGGGTTTGGATGATCAGAAAGCACAAATCACAAAAACTGTATACGTGACGTGTAACGCAAGTGCACACAAAGTAAATACAAGAAGGACAAACAGGAATAAGTGAAGGGTAGCCTAACATCGAAGTATACTTTTACAGCATTAAATGGTACTAAATGGTACTTTTGTCAAATTTTTACATATACTCTTAAAGAATTATTCTGCTAAAACGCGCTTCAAAGTAATGTCAATAAATGATAAATACTGGTTCAAATAATTTAGTCTACTCCTGTCATGATGTTACTTTAGCAAATAATTACAATTAAGCTTAATATGATTTAAAATGGTATAGTAACAATTACCTCAAAAATTATTTAAAACTCACTGCTGTTCATAATTTTTTCTCCTAATTATAAACTTATAAAAAAATTTTTTCTACCGAATAACATAAATTTTTTTCATAAGCTAGATTCTGTAACTATGAATTATCAACAACAAAACAATACAACTTGAGAAATCATGCATTTGCTGATCATTTTTAAAAGCCATGCTTTTCTTAAGAAACCAAGAGAGTTAACATAGCTACTAACAAATTTTAGTACCATTTATCATTATATTTCAAAATTACTAACTTTGAATGACCAAATGACCAATTTGATCCAACGAGGAAAAAATGGACATGATATAGCACAAACGGAACAAGTAGTGTTTTTGGTGTAAAAAGCATTCACAAACACAAAAATATTCTCAAGAATATGATTAAAGAATAAAAAACAACGAAAAGTTAAGCGCTTTTACTAAGTGGCAGTACCTGGTGTTGACATTGAAAAAAAGAAAAAAAACAGAAAACAAAACTGCTACGACAGAAAACGAGAGAAAAAATAAGCTTAATTGAAAATAACGTTTGAGTTACAAAAACTATATTTGACCCCAAGAAATAATTCATTCCCAAGAAAATTAACTAGATTGGTGAATTCAAAAAGAATCAAGTATTATAAAAATAATCAAGGAATTGCTTATTTTAAGACTTAAAAAAAGAACTAAAGTGACATTGCTGTTTATTTCAGAAATCTGAGGCCAAAATATTCTAATCATTGCATGAAAGATGTGAACCGAAATCTTTCATTAGTATTTAAAGACGATTAGATTTCTAGAGGTTAGTCTTCTTTATTTGCTAATGCAACATTAAAGGTTTGGAATAATTAAAAAGTCTTTAAAAACCTAAACTTTTGGAGCTATTAAAAATTTTTTTTGAAACGTTTAAGAAAAGAATAGAATCTTTTCTTTAACGAAATTAATATCCAGACTTTTCATCGCAAAGTGAACACAGCGACAGTTAGTGGTGCAAATTAACGAACGATATGTCTATTTGGATTAATATTAGCTCGCTTTAAAATTTAAAAACGCAAAATTTTTGCGCTTTCGCATATTAAAAAAAGAAATTAGGGAAAGTAGCAGTGTAGAAAATCATAAGTGAAGCGACAGCACGAACAACACATTTCAGTACAAATAAATAAAACTTTAGACGAAGGGCAAACACGAAAAATCGAAAATTCTATTTAAGAATTCAGAAAAAATCTGAAAATTATCTTCTGCTACAAAAATATCAGTAAATTCGTTCAAGAACGCAAATGGCGTTGTGGACGATAACGACGAGTTCGCGGCAAGCGATTACGCTGCCAGCGAATACGTCGTCGACGAATGCGGTCACCTTCAGGTGTAGGCACGAATACAATGTTTGTTTCCTCCACGTGTCCAATTGGCTCACAACTACGTCCTTCTTCGATACGTCCTCGGGAACGCGAACGAGTATAACCAGGCGCACATCTTCAATTTATTGCTAGTATTGTTATCAGTTACGAATATTCACACACATGGTAGTATGTTTCAACAAAAATTTGCATAAATTTGGTAAAATTTCGATCTACGAAAGAATAATGAGTAAATCATGATTATTCCTACAGATTTTTATTTACGTAGTTTTTATTCTAGGCACTTTTTTATTCTGCATTAAATAATCCTCACACATAACTAACATGTAATCTCAAAAGAATCAAAAATAGTGAACTTACTCATCACACAAACGTCCGGTCAAACCGGCTGGACAGTTTCGACACTGAACTTGTCCATAATTATCCAGGAAGCAATCTGAGGCACCTCTGGAAATGTTATCATCATATACTTTCATTTTTATCAAATTATTTTTTCATCAAAAAAGTGCACGAAAATATTGGAAGTATCACTTACGGGCACGGACAAGGAGTGCAGTCATACGGTGTCCCACGAGTTGCATCGCCATAATATCCACGTTTGCACTGTTCACAGTGATATCCTTCTGTATTGTGCTCACATAGCTAGAAAATATTTTTTACTTTTGAAAGCACTACTTTTCTCATGGTGTTTACTTCAATTTGATATCAGATATATTATTGCGATATTTAAAATAATTTGTCGACTATAAGAAATTAAGTTGTGCAATTTTGATTTACAATACATTGACCATTAATTTTCTTAGCGCCCATAAAAGTTGAGATTACAGTTTTCGTGTGCTGATATTACTAACTATTTTTCTATTACTAAAACCAACCAAACATCGACCAAACGAATCACAACCCCGAGGTGAATGATTGTTACACATGCAAGCGGGTCTGGTAGTTATCGGTTGACAGTCATGTGGTGTACCACGATGAGCATCACCGCTGAATCCTGGCTTACAACGTTCGCACTGATCACCTTCTGTATTATGTTGGCAATCGATGCAAAATCCATGCTCCTGTCATCACCAAATATTACAGCCCGTTAGTCCAATTTTTTTCTTTTAACTTAAATTTTTTCTCGAACTCTAGTTTTAATAGAAATTATCGATTAATAATCACGCTCTTAACTCATCTGAATATAATCAGCCTTCCTGATTTCCTTTTATTTTCAATTTATTTAAAAAAAAAGAAATGAAGAAAAAACAAACTTTGTCACATTTTGAAGCATGCCCATGACACTCACATCGTTCACAAAGACCAAGGTACAATCCACCACCAGTACGAGAATATCCTTGCGCACATTCTTCGCAAGAAGTACCAATGTAACCTGGTGGACATCGGCATTGTTCAACCTGAAATTTTTACTATCATTTTTTTGGAAATTTTTTAACATAATTTTAACTTTACATCTCTCACGTTCAAATTTCTTCCAAGTTAAAATATATCAGAGTCACACCATTAAAATATTTATTATCATTATTATTCAAAATAACATATTTTTTCTTTACCTGAAAGATTCTAATTATTTTTCAATTAAATTGAGTTTATGTAATGCTGTATTTACAATATATTTTAGAATTAAAGGAATACAATCGATATGAATATATTTATTGATGTAAATAAAAAATATTTTCAAGATATGACTAAAGAATAATGATAAGTTAAACATTTACCTCGTATGCAATATCGCCACCTGTAACGTGAGACTGAGCATAGTCCAAAGAAACACTAATCAGTGATGATGAGGAAGAATCCTCCACGTAATTCAGTTTGATTAGTAATGCATCCAAGTCAGACAATGCCATTATTAAATGTTCACGTGTAGCTGGTTGTCCATCCATGCGTTGCCATTGATCTTCAAACAGTTTCACTTCCACGACATTATCACGCCCCGCAATGGGTGACTGATGATGTTTGTACAACAAAGTTATATCATTTCCCTAAATTTCAATTAATAATTCAATTTCTTATTCCAATCTTCGCGTAAATCAGCGTGTTTTGTTCGTATTTTTACTTTGAACCACTAAAAATAGGTTACTTTTCCGAAATTTAGAGTATTCTGGCGATATTTGCAATAATTACCGAGTTAAAAAGAGTAATTAAGTACAGTTGTTGACAGTAAAATTATTATTTTGCTATTTTATTTGCAAAATATTTCAACATTTCATTAATAAGCTTAGCTTTTGCGATGTATCTCTGAGTGATAATTAAGACAAATTAAGCAATAAAAGTTTTATCAGCTTAGCTTACTTCAACATTCATACCACCATAATTTTATATTCAGAACATTTAAATAAATAGCCTTTAAAAGTTTTTTTTGTTTTTTTCAATAAATTAAGAGCATAACATACTCGCAAAATAACATCGGCATCAGTGTTGATAGGTCCGACACCCGAATAACGGAAAACATATTTAAGTATGCCACCGTAACTGGTAACTTTATTGCCAAGGAATCGTTCTGGTAATTTCCAGTAAAGCTTTTGACCGGATGCTTCATGGAACGCGTCGAATGTTATACCATTTCCGGTTATTCGACCTTGCGATTGTGGACTTAAAATACTACAATGCTTTATTCGAAAATCTCTAGTCAAAAATAAATCTCAAGTTTCAAGTGATTTTTTTAGACTAAGTCTTGTAATCTACAACTCGATTTCATAAATTGTCTGAAAATTTGATAAAACCTGAAATTTATTATTCGAAAGAATCTAAATACGTGTCAAATATTTTGAACCCGACATTATTTTTGGAATTCATTAGTCAGATTTATGCTAATTTTTTACTTCCCAAGCTTCCGCTGTTGTACAATCATATAATGGATGCATGAATAATAGCACTAATCGGATCTCTTCAAATTTTTTATAATACATTTTTTTGTGCACATATTTGGTTCAAGATACTGATTTAATTCCTTAATTGCTGATGTTTCCATTTTGAATAGCTAACAAACTGTTTATCAGTAAAACAGACAAAAAAAAACATACTATGTTTGTTGTTTAAAAGCAAAAATTTTCATGATAAATTCAAACGACCCTTTACTCATATCGCAGTCATAAATAACTGAAAACTTGAGAAGAAATAGTGGCACGAAATAGAATACCTGAAAGAACTATGAGCATCGCTAGTAGTAATTTCAAGTTGATCAGTTGCTCCTCTGGTGTAGTCAATAACTACTTGAGTTCGGTGTAAATTTGAAGAGGAGCATTGCTGTGTAACTCCAGAACAGAAACAAGGTATGCAACCTTGTGGATTTCTTGCTGATAAATGAAAAGTGTTCGGAGGACAGCGATCACACATTGCACCCGTTGCATATGTTTTGCATTGGCATCTACCATCATAACCAGGTTGCGTACTTAGTGCGCCTATTGGTGAGCATTGTGCCCGTTGTTGTATTGCTACACACTTACCACTGTGTGGCCTTTCACGTGAACGTTCGTACCCTGGTGCGCAAGTCTCACAAGATAAACCAGTATATCCTAAAATTCTTTCCATAAAATCAAAAACTGGAATTTCTAAGTAATATATAATTAATCCAAACTACTATTATATGTAAAATAATCACCATAAAAATAAAAATAAAAAAATTTATACAAGAATAAATTCAAAGTAGCGTTACTTTTGATTCCTTCAATTATTTCTAAAAACATTTACATCAGAACTTTACAACAGTTTTAAAATAGCATTAAATATTTTGTTAATTCAGCATGAAAATAACAATTACTTTGCAATTGCTAGTTTAAAAAATTGCTCTTAAATCCAAATAAAAGTACATGAGGAGAAATAGGAAAAATATATTTATGATCAACAAACCTGGTGGACAGAAGCACTGTTCAACTTCTAAAGCTAATCTGTCTTGTGTATCTCGATCAACTGCTACTTCCCAGCTGATGTTTCCAATGCTAAAAGATTTTCAAATTTGATAAATTCACAAAAGTTTCAGTTCAAAAAAGCTAATATTAAGGTTTTCAATATTATTAGTTGGCAAGTAACCAACAGTAATGCACATTTTTACTTTTTTTTAAACAATACTACAAAAATGAATAAATAAAATTCAACGAGAGCAAAATAGAAATTACTTAATATGAAATTCATTTGATGTAACTTGTTATCTAATTAAATCATAAAATTATTCTGAGTATAAATAATTAACTGAACTCATGTCAGTTAAGCAAACATAAATATTAATCAATTAATTAAATAACCCTGTAGATTGTTGCCCATGACAATGTGAAGCTCTGATTAGCATAGTATCTAAATCAGCTAATACCTTCATCAGATTCTCTCGAGTAGCAGGCCTTCCATCTAATTCTTCGAAATTCGTCTATAATACATTTGTCAACATTTTTTCGTGACTAATGTTTGAATATGATTTCAAAGGTGGATGCTTAAAGAATCTTTCATATTTCGTACAGAAATTATTATGTGAAGTCCCGCAAATTTGACAATCAAAACAAAAGAAAAATGCTGCTTTAGTCAAAATTTTTAAATATGGAGTAAAATGAAATTCTAATCACAAACATAATCTAACATTAATAGTGCCATTTGTTAATTTTAACAAAAATTCATGAATAGATCAAAATGGCAAAATATAAATATGACGACAGATTCCTATCATTCCTTTTCAATTTGAAATTGCATCGTCATGAAATTGAATTTATTCCCTTTGAATTTTTATTCTGTTTTTTAAGCTATGAAGTTTCGTTTACCTGTCAGCAATCTGATAATTTCAGCCAACAAAATTGATAAAATACGACTATAAACGCAGGCCATTTAAATATGAATAAAAATAACATTCTAATATACATATTTGAGTGTTATTTTTATCCATGTATTATATAATTTCTGTATGAAAATATAAAAGCATAAAGCTACAAAAACGAAAAGCTAACTTCGTAAGTATCGATGTTATATTGAATTTTTCGATCAGAAGAAAATTTATGCGTATCATGTGGACGATGCACGAGTGTAATACCTTGACCCTATAAAGTTCATATTCTACATATGAACAGTTTTTACTCATAATGCTTGAGATGTTTTTATCTCCAAACAAATTCCAAACCGTGAAGAACTTATTATCGTTATCAATTATGTTAATTTATATTGCCGCTATTATTGATATCAACAACCTTAAGAATAATAAACGGTTCATTATTCAAAGGACCAGTGCATGAATATTGCAGATCAAACGCTAATTCGCCACCATAAGCTGTCAACTGAAAATAATTCAGAATAACTGCAAAGAAATAGTCAGATTTAGCTAACTGTAGAAAAAAAAATAAAAAATGTCAGTCATTTAGTTGGTCAACAATTTGTCACTAAGTTGTGATGAATTTTTAGACTGCTTTTTGTCGATTGCAAAATTTCATTTTTATTCAGAATCTCATTGCTATTCTGAATAGCATAGCACCCTTAAAGTAAACGGAACCTTATTTTTAAGGAAATGTTGCGGCATCATCCAGTAAATTGTCTGATAAGATGGCTCGTTGGAAACGATCATGCCAGAGCTGTCATAATTAAAATGCGCATTTACTGTATGTCCATCGATATCTGATAATTCGATATTTGGCGAATCACCGCTTAATAAGATCTTATCCTGAAAATTCAGAAAAAAAATACCAATTCAAAGGTAATTAGATATGAAAGTGAATGTGAAAACAAACTGCAAACTGCAAACTTTAATTAAATGAAGTGAAATTTCGCACTCAAAATGGTGATGACAAATCAACAGCAAAAAAAGTGCATTTAAAATAACTTGCAATTAAAATGCTTCAACACTTCAAAAAAATTCAAATTCAATTAATAAAAAGTGAGAAAACGGTTCTACAATACCCTTGAAAGTTTCAACAGCTAAAGGTTTCAATAAGGATTGATATTTCATTTGGAATTCATTGAAAACCAAAACTTGTAACTTTTAAGCATAAAATTTTTCAGAATGATTATAAAGTTGCTAGCTATCTTTGCAAACTAATTTGTTCTTTTCAATTTAATCATTACAAGTTCAACAAATAAACTTATACAAACATGACTTCACTACTGCTTTTGCAAAAAAAAAATGCTCGTTAAGCAGTGAATCATTGAAAAATTTTGAGTTTTATACAAATCAGAAATTGATCTGAGTTTTATACAAATCAGAAATTTATCAATCACTCATACTTGTAAAAAAACACTTCACAATGAAGAAGTGCCTGTGAAAATGACAATGGAACTTACGCAAACGGCGATCTGAATCCAAGATATACAAATTTGATAATTAATTACACGTGACAAAATTCATTATCAAAATATATAATTTTGATGACCACACATTTTTTGGCATAATTTTTATCAAATCATTTTCGAATATTATTAGTATCCAACGATTTTAAATCACCAAGCCAATTATATTGTAATTTATTATCTTTGAATCGTTGCAATAGCCAAAAAAAACTTTACCGATATCATTAATGAGGAATTAATGAAGATTTTTAGTTTTTACAATCAAGCAAATTACTTTTTGCTAACATTAGCAACGATTTTGTTGCATTCTTAGAAAATATAGACATCAATTTTTCATAAACTTTCATCTTCATCTACATTTTTCGAATATCCCAAAAAATAAATGAAAAAAATATAAGCTTAATTACTTTCTTTTGAAGCAGTAGTCCCTCAGCTAGTCTAACAGAATATATCTGACAAATTTTTAAATCAAAAGCAATGAAATTAATGTTTTCTGCTCAAAATTTTTCAAAAAATCGATTACCTACCAAGAAATTTGCAGAAATAATTGCAGTTCAAGCAGTTTAGCTTTAACTTCATATTTTGAGTGAAATTATTGGACTAAAATAAGTAAAATTACCAACTTTTGTTCGATACCAAGATGATGAGCGACACTGATCGGTGACACCAGAACAGAAGCACTTCAAGCAACCCTCGCGAGATTTCTCATGTAGATGATAGGCACCATGAATGCAAGAATCACATGTTGGGCCGGTTGCCAATGACTGAAAGAGTGAAAATAATAACGGAATTTATTTTTAGACAGATATAGGAACATAAAGAAATTGATGGAAGCAACAAAATGTTCTTACGAATTGTGAGAAAGAGGAAAATCCAACAAAACAAAAATAATAAACAAAATTTACCTTACAGTAACATCGTCCAGTATGGTCTGGAACAGTACTTACAGAACCAATTGCATTGCATCTAAATTTGTGCTGCGGTTCAGGAGCTGGAATGTTCACGATTCTTACGACACAATCTGGCGTTGCTAGTACTCGACCTTTGACATTGATAGCTTCACAGGTATAAGCACCTTGATCCAAAGACCTGTAAATATTATGATTCTTTTGACATAATCATATTGGTAATTCTGGCAATAGTGATAATAACAAAACAAAAATATTAAAGAACTATGACCCATATAGTGCACTGAATCAAAAAAGAAACTCCAGAAATGAGTACTGTCTGGAAATCATAAAACACTTGATGACTTTATTTTTAGTAAATTTGTAAGCTGTGTTTTAATTTGTCTTCCCAAAATTATTTGAGATCGGTTACAACTAAAAAGTGAATAATTGAAATGAAGCTTTCTGGTAAATGACTAAATAAGTTCTTGAGAAATTTGTCAGAAACAATTTGTACAAACTTGTATCGTTCGTAAACTGCTGATACATATTTTGGTTTACTATTTCATACAGTTCAATTGTAAAAAGTGGTACAACTCTAACTACTTTTGTGCAGTATTTAAAAATCAGCTTCAACTTTAAAAAGTATGTGAGACAAAATTTTATACTAACAAATATGGCTGAAACTTTTTACAAAATGTTCGATTTTTGACGACCTTTGTTTTCAAAGATCTTGATTTGATTATTTTTGTGTTTTGAAAATTTACATGAAGAATCTAATGCTTTTGTAACACATTTAATTTAATAAGGGACAAAATTAAAAATAATTATTACCATCCCATTCATCTTTTTCATTTTAAAACCCTCAGAATGTTGTTGAAAAGCAATTAAAATACAGATGAAAAAAACTGCTAAAAGTCTTTATGCAATGAAGACTTTCAAATGAAGTCATGAATTTTTTTATCGCTTAGTGAAATTACAAAACAAGTAAAAACTAACTGCGCATTTTTTATGGTAAGAGTACCAAGACCACCCTCAGAATGTTGGACACATCGCGGTGGATCACATACAGGTCCCCAATTGAGGCGCCAATTAATATATGGTTCTGGTACAGCTACCGCTTTGCATGATAACTGGAAGGTACTACCAGCATCAACTTGTTTATTAGTTTCAGGTGGTTGGACAATAGTTGGTTGAACACAACCAATCTATAAGTATTCAATTATTATGCACTGGACAGAATTGAACTAATTTTCAGTAATATTTTAGGTATCAGCCACCAGTTTGATTGAGCAGAAAATTATTTCACAAAACAAATTGCAGTTACATTACGTAAACTGTAATAAATCTTGCAATATTTTGGAAAGCAAATCCTAATCTTTAACTTGAAACAAAATATTTGAATGATAAGTGTTTTTATAAATATTGAGCAAAAATACATCACTAATTTGATTACTTAAAACTTGATGTTAAGTATTTTGGAAACATAATTATTGATGAAATAAATCGAACTTAAAAACTATCATGGAAATCTGAAATGTGATCGACAAATGGATTGATTTTTATCCAGTTTCATAAGCCAGTTTTGACTAACAAAAAAAAAAGAAAAAAACTTTGTTAGCAAAATAATAGTTAGCTTCGAAGAGAAACTTCAATAATAATAATTATAGTATGATAAAGCCATCATTCTCTGAAAAATCAGCAAATCCCAGAGCTTTCTCATAAATTACCATTCTGGAATTTAAAAGATTTGGTCAAGAATTGCAGAATTTCAGACGACAGTTTTACAAGAAAGTTAGTCTTACAGAAATGGTTTACTTGGATTAAATCGATATTTTACTACTAAAAATTACTGTGAGCAATCTTTACAATACTTTTCTGGTCACTGATAGAAAATCTTTACCACTTTACCCACTCCATATAACACAAATAATCAAGAGGTTATGTGTGAATGAACGAAACCTCATCAGATCCATCTTGGCAGTCATTTGTACCATCGCAATGGAAACTTTGCGGAATGCACTGCCGCCCATCGCGGCATTTGAATTCAGTCGCAGAACAACCATTAGATGCAACTCGATGGCTACAAGTCTGTTCATCAGAATTATCACCGCAGTCATCGTCTCCATCACAGAGCCACATTTTTTGTACGCAACGACCATTGTTACATTTAAATTCATTTGGTTCACAAGAACTTAATGACGGACAATCCTATAAATTAATTGCTTAAATTTAAACTTAATTTAAATCAATTTCCATAAGATTTTTAAAGATTAACATATGAAGTGCTGCAAAATTACTGCCGTCTAATCAAATCTACAGTCTACTTTCTGGGTTACAAAAAGATGAATTTTGATTTTATTTATTTATCTTAGTACTTATAACATTTAAAACATAGTTCAAAACTAATGAGTTACTCATACTGACAATGATTTTTTGATCAGTTCTTAAATAAAAATTATTTACCAACTTGTATCAACTATGAATAACATAATGACCAGATGATTTTTAATAGTTAAACAAAATATGAAATATATCAAACTTTTTCATCTGTACGATCTCGACAGTCGGGTTCACCATCACAAATGTAGTCGCTCTTTACGCATTCGTTATTACCACAGGCCCGTTCATCGGCACTGCATACACCACTCTGTGGCAACACACTTTGAAATTCTTGTGGTCCATCTGTAATCACCACTTCAACCTATTCATCATACGCACTTTCCTTTTTATGATGACTAATCTATTAATAATAGTAAATGATTTTGTAAATGTATTACTTTTTTAGATTCATGTGATAGCAAATTAATAGCATCAACTAAACTTGAATTTTTTTTCAGCAAAACCTGAAATTTTATTTGAACATGTTTTAGTTTAAGTTCGTATTAACACCGATAAATGTTATTATTTGAGTTCCAATTTGTTCTGCATTGTTCAAAAAGCAAATTGAATACAAACAGCAACTAGAAATGCTATAAAGATCGGGTTTGAACTTGAGTTTGGAACTTATGAATAAATAACAAAATCATTCTATAAAAAATCATCCCATACTAATCATGTACTAAGAATATTTTCATTTTTTCATTGGACATACTGCTAGATAATGAAAATTAGCTATATTTTGCTATCAGTCTCTGATAAGACGGAGCATAAATCACGTTAAAAGTTTAAAGAAAAAGTGATTATGTTATTTTGGTTTTTATTTACAAATATACTACTGCGATAACAATTTATTTTTACCACTCATTTTTCTCTCTTGCAAGCACTGTTTTTGCTCAAGAAGAATTCACCTGAATTTTATTTTGTTTTCTACTAGACTCAGGAACAGAATCAAAGGAAATAATGCATTTTTTGAGAATAATCGGAAAATTGCGGAATAAAAAGGTTATTTAACTATTTTTTCCTCAATTTTTATTTATTCCATCGGTTTAGCATTTAAAAAATTTGAGTATAAATATTTATTTATTCACTTGCAAATTTATTTATATCATATTTACAAGATTCATCTATATATTTTGAGCAGAATCACAGTAAACTTGACAAACTATTTGTTAGCTTTTTAAGCTTATCTTGTAAACAAATATGTTTTTTATACAAAAATAAAAAATAAATTTTCAATTTTTTGAAATTTATATCAGAAGAAGGAAATAATTTGTGCTTGATAATATTTAATCATTTTTTTCTGATCAACGCACGTGTAAAGCTAAAACACGACTATTATCAAATAAAGTCATAAATTTGTTGCAAAAAAGAATTGCAAGGAAATATTCCAGGAATCTATTAAAAAAGGAATGCGTTGATATAGTTTGATGCAACTGGAGTGATAAAATTATCCTAAAGAATATTGGCTACTACGAGCAACTTTATGCACCAACTGAATATATCTGCAGATCAAATCGTTATTTGATTTTCATGAATAAAGTAGACTAAAAATTGAAGATATGACGGGTATAATCTATCAAAACTCTTCAAAGTTATTCTTGTAATACACTAGTGATGCAGAATTGTTGTAAGTTACGTAGAATTGCTATTTTTTTAAAACAATTCAAATAATGACTATTTTTTGATTTCAAATTAATCAACTTTATAAATGTATAAGAACTGTGTGATTGACAACAGCAGAAAATGCAAATAATAATAACTTACTATCAATCAGTAGCTTGATGGAGAATGATTAAAAAAGTAGTCTTCTTTACAACTGAAATTGCACTTGATAATGAATTCTTTCTCAAAAATGGTAGGAAAAATTAATTCACTGAACTATGTGGAGAGAAGTAAATTCTCGAATTTGGCTTCATGTTTAATATCTGATTCACCATTATAACGAGCATCAATATTTGCCGCAAAAATTCAAATTAAATATTTCATCAAATTGATTGTCATAATTTTGATTATTGAAAACAATAGCTGTATAAAGTAATATGTCGATATGATTGTCGAGATAAAATTCAATATGAAAAGTGTATTAAAAAATTGAGAATTGGATTAAAGTTAATGCTAACCGAATAATAATTTTTTCTTTATTTTGGTCATGGATAAAAATAAGTGTAGTAATGTGAAATGATGAAATGAATGGAGTTTTCATCGTAAATTAATGATAGTTTAGTTTGAAGATGATGCAAAACTCTATTTTTATTATCATTACAGCCATAACTTTTACATATTGAAGTGATCTTTTTATTTGCAGCTGAGTTCTTTTGCCATTTTTTTTTTTTTTTGAAACAAAATTAAAATATGAGAAACCATTGTATAGGTTAGAATTCAAAATTAGAACTTGAAAATTGTATGAAGTATGAACATAATCAAAAATGTATATGAATACTTTACGTTAGCTCTTAAATCCCGGAGTTTATCAGAATGACTGCAATCACATGACTGATCAATGCAATTCCATCTGAAGTTGCAGGAATAGAATGGGATCCTCATGCGATAAACAAAAGCGAGCAATAAAGAGTGCCATCTATGACCTTGAAGTACGAGTTCAAAGGGATTAAACTTACAAGGTTGTATATTGAGCTGAGCATATGCAATATAATCTTTTCCATCAAAATTTGTCGAACAAATGTAACGTCCACTATCAGACATTGATGCTGACGAGAACTTTAAACGTCCGCCAGATTCATAAGCTGACGCGGGCATTGGGGCATTATATCGAGTCCACCGCACTTCCGGATATGTGATTCCATCAGGAGAACGGGCGCGGCAGTCAAACGTGGCTTCATTTCCTTCATGCACGTTCTCCTCCGTTGGGTATATGGTTATTTGTAGGGCTAAAAGTTCCACAAAAACTCTTTTCTGTCAAAACTCGTAACTGACAGTGTCAAATCCATCGGTAGTCAATTAAGAAAATTGTATTCAGATTACAGTTTGATGAAAATGTGTGGAAAGTACAGCTTGCCTTAAGCTGCTAAAAATTGCCATCTCGAAATCACTGTTAAATAAAATGAATATTATTTTGTCTTAAATATTGTAGAGGAGAAAAAGCACAATTTTATTATTTTCTTAATGAGTGAAATTTCAGTACAAATTAATCAGATGGAGACTTGAAAGTTCACACGTGACTTTTGAAAGCCAAATTATGAACAGAATAAGCTTTCATGTTTAAGAATAATAAAATGAAGCATTAGTGAATTTAAATGTTAAAACTAACGATGTGAGTGGCTGTTGTCGACTCCTTGATCTGAAATATTTTGAGCCTAATGAATATCTATTTTTAAAACAATCAATTTATTCTGCATCTCACAGTAGTACTAATTTTAAAATTTTCTGAGCAAATTAGAAAAAGTCAAAACTCTTGTTAGACTGAAGTATAAACATTTCGAGTAGATCCAAAATATAGCTCTATCAGTTCGCAGTTTATAAGTATTTTTATCAGTCAAAGCGAAATTTCGGTAAGCCAATAAACTTTGCAAAAATAAAATTTTGCAAAGCTTATTGACTAATAAATAAAATTGTAAACTGTCCAACTTCCAAATATTCATATTTTTTCAAAACGATATACATTACAACATGAATATTAGATAAATTATGAAAAATTTTGGAAGTTTTTAGAACAAAAATACTTTACAAAAGAGAAAACTTATAAATTCAAGATCTTATGTTGGATTCAATACTTGTATTTTTCTTTTTGCAGATATTATTTTAGTGGTTAAGATAATCTATTGATAAACTTACAACGCTCGAAATTCCAATCATTCCATGCTTCACTTTTTGTTGGAGAAGTTAGTAGAAAGAGCTGAGATATTATTAACAACGGAAACAGCAATATCCAGAGCCTGCATAGCTCTTTCATTCCTGTTGTTAGACAACGTAAAAATACAAATAAATATTATAAATTATCATTACAGCTCGTTGTACGTTATTACAAAAACAATCATGTAGATCTACAGAAATAATAGAAAATTAGCATACTGTTTTATTTTTTTTTCATTTACAGTAACTAATTATCTTTTACTGCAACTATTATACAACTATGAGGTTGTAAAAAAATTTCAACATTAAACATCATCATATTGTAAAGTTGCACAACGTTGAAACTTTTTTTGAAGATTCTGACTACTTCCGTGAATCAAATGCCATTCTCAAATACGCTTTGTTTGTATATAGTATCATCTATTAAACATTTGTGTTGAAAGGCTCAAATAAAAACATATGTAAAAATTCAACATATGTTTGACATATTTTTTTTGAGTAAAATACAAATGATGATTCATATTACGCTAAAAATTTTAAACTGCTATAAAAATAGCATTTAAGCATTTATTTTCAAGTATTTAAATAATAGTTAAATTTCGTTTTGCGAAAAGTGTTTAAAAGGGAAATTTTTAGAACATTCAATATTTTAAATTAGTGTAGAAGTTAGTGTGATATAAGTTTTCTAACATAATCAAAAAACATTTGATCATTTCTTATTTCAGTATCTTATCATGAATGTAACTAACTGTAGATGATGGAACTCTTTTATTTCTACATGATTTTAGCACTTTTATCATTTAATTTTGTCCCGAAATATAAAATTATTAGTATCAAATCTTTTTGCAACAAACAATAAATAAATTAAGTGTACAATTAAAATTAGTACGATTAAGTATCGATACTATTAATAATGACAGTAGTAGTTTAAGTAATTCATCAAGCAAGTAAAGATGTTGGTACTATAAAATGAATTAGTAAATGTATTATTTAAAGACTAAATAACTAAAAAGTATTTGTTATAGTAACACTAGTATGATAAAAATGAGAGCATCAAAGATAATGATACTGTTTTCTGCAGTCTATTTTCAGCTTTTTATCCTTTCACTGAAGGTAAAAAAAAAGCTGGAAAAATGGTTACAACTGATAACAATATATAAAAGTACGGTGCTTTTTAGCTATCGTTTTCATCTGTACAAAAAGTAGACGATAATAGTAAAAAAAAAAAAAAAATTAGAGAACGAAGCAAAATCTATTCGTTGGAATTCACTCGATCAAAAAAAAATTATGCTGTCTGCTGTGCAGTCGTAGATCGTAAATTATAAAAAATAGAAGGAAGTAGGAAAGAAGTAGAAAAGTAGAAAACGATAAACATTCAAACTTTTTGATCATAAAAAGATTATGCCATTATCATTATTCATTATCCAATCTTTCATCAAATAAATAAATGAAAAGAAAAATAAAGTTAAACTATATCAAAAAAACTTAGTGCAAGTTAGTGTCTGATTAAATTACAAGATTAAAAATTAATTTACGAGCAGGAAATTGTGTAACTTAATGATGTACGTATTAAGCACTTCTGCCTTGGAAAAAGCAGAAATGCTGAAAAAATTTTCCTTACCAACACTTATGACGAAAAATTATTCACACTTATTTTACGTAAAGCAGTTAATGATGACGTCAGTGACTAAATTTAGTCCAAGTAAAAAATCATAAATATTAGTATTACTGAACCTGAATAAAACTTTTGGACTGATTTTGAATTCCATTATTACAAACATCTTTCTTATCTGAAAGTGATTCATCCAAAATCAGTAATAAAATTACATCTCACAAGGCAGAGCACATTTACCATAAAAACACTGATAACATAAAGTGTGTAAAAACAGGATTATTCATCAAATTTTTTCGTCTATCGTACGAATAGTTTGATTGGCAAAGCTTGTTTAAAGTATTACATATATACTTTAGATATAGCCAAACACTTTGCTGAAGTTACAATAAATTCCGATGTCATGCACTTTTCAAACATGATCACAATACTACGAGTTTCCTCAAAGACTAATGTAATATACGAAGTTGTTGATAAAAAGTACTGAAGCTCCATACTCACAGCGACAATTTATCAAAATACTCTGTTATTTAAAAGTGGCATTAATTTACTATTGTAAGAAAATTACAGTAAAATGTCAAAAATTTACGAAACTTACAAAAGTCAAAATTCTTGAAGTAAATTGCTAGAATCAGATGACTTTGAAATTGCATTCATTTCTAGTAGTTTGCATAAATCATACTAATTTTTTACTTTTGAATGGATAATTATGAGCTGCATAAGTACTGCAATAATTTGGAAGTATCTATTATAACAAAAGTAATACAAAGTGGAACAAAACAAACTGATGACTCAAATTTTTATGTGCACGAGAAATAAAAGTAATTCGATTGGAATTTATATTTCTTCTTATTTTCAAATACAGCTGCTACTTTGTTACTTAAAAATTATTTTTTCCAAATTTTTGTGTACATTTATTTTGTAATAAAAAAGATTTTTAGTTCAGTCGTATTGGTCGTTTAAAAGAATACTTCAGAAATGGTTAAAAATTTTCAATCAAATTACCAAATCATTGTTTCTTTATATTAATACCTTAGGTACTTTTTATATAATACAAAAGTTAATTCTAAAGAATTTTAGCAAGGTGAGAAAATTCAAGTCAGAGCTATTTAAATAGCAAAATGTTTAAAAATTTTGTGATAAAGCAAAAGTAATCGTTTGTTAAGCTTAACAAAATTAGTTGTTGAACCGTTGTTAAACAGATGGCAAAGCAAGCAAAAGATTTATAATAGAGCTAGAAATTTATTTTAACATAAAACAAATCTAACAAAATAGAGTAACAGATGATTTCTAACTCAAGGGAAACTTTGTAAGAAAAGAATTCCCTAAGAAAATAGTTCATTTCATTTTTTATTTCTTGCAACTTCTGCGTTTTAGCGATTTGTATTAATCACTCCTCAAAAATATCGCAATTTAAAAAATGAAATAAGACAAAGAAGCTTCAAAATTTTTATAAAAAATTATGTGATTAAAAGTAGATTGCAATTCTTTATAATTTGTTTAAAAAATTTACAAAAATCTTGTAAGCACTTACTAAATTTAAATTCTGTAAGAAATTTAGTTTAAATTGGCACGATATTCACTTCAAAAAGTAAAGTTTTAAAAGTTTCTTTATTAAGCTACTGATGTTTTAACGATTTGTATCAAATCAAATGTACCACACGAGTATTTTCTTAACAAACAATCTAACACTAAAGGCTTTTATTTCAAGATTGGCGCTTTTTTAAGCCAACTTTCACAGTTTTGTGGTATACATTTTGCAAATTGTAAATAATTGTGTTTGCACTTTAACACAGAAGGGATGTAAAAAACTTGTCTTAATTCAGAAGAAATATTAATGTCCACAAAAATCAAATGCTAGTTTTTATTTCTAATTTGCTTTTGATTAGTATAAATTTTCATTAAATGCGAGCCTGCTAATACATATGTCGCAACTTATAACTTTTCGCATTACAATTTTTTCGTATTTTAAAATTTTATGATTGTTTACTATCAGTCTTTTTTGAATATTATTGGATGAACAAATAATTTCAATCAATATACCAAACTCAATGAATGCTTCTGTGCTTCATTCACAGACATAATAAAACATAAAATCTATTTTGCCATCTTAATTACTCTGAAGAGTATTCAGATTTATCTACTCAAAAAAATATTTCCTTTAAAAATGCAAAATGAGTGCATCAAATCAAATGTGTAAACTTAAATCAATAAAATGAAAAGAAACCTACGATTTATGAGGATTGGGACACTTCCAAAACAAATAAAAATTTTATTTTATAAATTCGAAGCATTTTTGACAAAATTTAGTAGTATAGTGACATTTATAAAAAAATCACTCTGGACAATTTTTGTTCTCATGCAGAAGAAAATTAATAATACCAGACCAGTAGAAAACTATGAATGAGAGATAGCACGAGTAAATTGTCGATATCATTTCATATTAAACTTTTCTAATAACTTTACTGAAAAATTACTTTACAGATAAATAATATAGAATTACTGCTTTATAATGCATTTTCTTCGTTTTAACTTTAATTTTTTTGACATACTAGAATTGGATCTTAAACAAATCGATAACTGAAGAAAAGAGCAGAAAATGGGATATATTAAGTTATACAACAAAATTAACGTTGCAATTTTGCAGCCATTTTTCTAAATGCACCTTTAGGCTTGACAATTAAATTATCTGATGCAAAAAATTAATCACAAATTGAATTATTGCCCTAAATTCAATTAAAAAGTATTCAACTGCAATTCTTGCCTAAAATTCAACTGCGGTTATTATTTATATAAAGCAAATACCTTCTAAAGCAATTTTTTTCAAATAAAGAACAAAGTAAAAAATAATATTTGAAAATTAACCAAGCAATACAAAAAATTGTCAAGTTTTTAATTAGTGCCTTAGATAATTTCCTAAGCACAACCTGTAATAAGCAATGATTGCTGTAGCAAAACTCAAGGCGTTAACTGCAAACGATGAAAATAACACCACCCACATTAGTTTAAAATATTTCACGAAAAAAAGTTTTAAGCTTTAAGAATTCACAACGTGTAACATTCACTCTTCTATTTCAGCTATTTATTCATCCATCCATCCATTCATCCATCTATGCTTCCATCTATACATATATCTATCTACATATCTTTCCATTTAACAACCATCTAACCATCACTTATTTACTTATTCACTTATTCATTCCTTCGTTCATTCATTCCCTCATTCATTTACTTATTCGTTCATTCATTTCTTCATTTATTCAATCATTTACTGATCCATCCATCCATCCAATAATCCATCCATCCAGTCATTCATTAAATCATTGGATCATTTATTTATTTATACATCCATTATTAAAACTCATTATCTTATTCAACCTACTATCTATTATCTAAACTTAAATTACTTAGCTATTTTATCATCAAGGATATGCGAAATCTGTTTTTCACTTTCATCTCTCTACAATCTCTTCATAAATAAACGAATA